GAGCGCTACTTCCTGCTGGTGGTTGACGACTACTCGCGTTACACCACAGTCTTCCCCTTGTGCAGCAAGGGTGAGGTCACTGCGGTGTTGATCGACTGGATCCGCGCAGCTCGTCTCCAGCTTCGGAGGAGCTTTGGCTCTGACTTCCCTGTTTTGCGTCTGCACTCGGACAGAGGCGGAGAGTTCTCCTCTGGCCTCCTGAGTGCCTACTGTCGTGCGCGAGGCATCCGTCAGACCTTCACGCTTCCGGACTCACCGCAGCAGAATGGGATTGCTGAGCGCCGCATTGGCATGGTCATGGACGTCGCTCGTACGTCCATGATGCATGCGGCTGCTCCCCATTTTCTGTGGCCGTTTGCGGTCAGGTACGCTGCGCACCAGATCAACCTCCACCCCAGGGTCTCTCGACCGGAGACCTCCCCAGCCCTGCTGTGGACGGGGAAGGTTGGCGATGCGTCGGCGTTCCGGGTATGGGGATCTCGGGCGTTTGTTCGCGACCTGTCTGCGGACAAGCTGTCCCCTCGTGCTTCTCCCTGCGTCTTCCTGGGGTTCCCCCCCGACGCCCCTGGGTGGCAGTTTTACCACCCCACCTCTCGACGTGTTCTGTCCTCCCAGGACGTCACGTTCGACGAGTCGGTACCCTACTACCGCCTCTTCCCCTACCGCACTCCGTCCCTCCCCCCACCCCCGCTCTTCTTGGTACCAGGTCCCCCCCCGGTAGTCCCCCTCCCCCCTCAGGGTCCTGCCCCTTCAGGTGTGTCCCAGGTAGACGCGGTCGAGCCTGTCGAGGTCACTGGTGACTCTGGTGCTGCTGCGGGAGCTGAGCCTGGGGATGCGGAGACTGGGGGTGCTGAGCCTGGAGGTGCCGAGTCTGGGGGTGCTGAGCCTGGGGGTGCTGAGCCTGGGGGTGCTGTGCCTGGGGGTGCTGTGCCTGGAGGTGCCGAGTCTGGGGGTGCTGTGCCTGGGGGTGCTGAGCCTGGAGGTGGTGAGCCTGGGGGTGCCGTACCTGGGGGTGCTGTGTCTAGGGGTGCTGAGCCTGGAGGTGCTGTGCCTGGGGGTGCTTCGTCTCGCCGGGAGCCACTCTCCCCACAGGAGCTGCGTGAGTGGTTTGCCGGGCGCTGGAGGCGTGCTGCTGGTGCTGGTGGTTCTTCGGCTGCAGAGGGTACTGCTGCTGCGCGCCCCGCCGGCGCTCGTACTGTGGGTGCTGGAGCTGCTGAGTCTGAGAGTTCTCCTGGAGCTGGTCCTGCTGAGGGTGTTGGCGCTGAGCCTGCCGTTGGCGGCCCGACTGACAGTGCTCCTGGTGCTGCGGCTGGAGGTTCTGGAGCTTCTGGTGGTGCTGCTGGAGGTGCTGCTGGAGTGGGTGCTCCTGCCGGGGCTGCTGGTGCTGTTCCTGCTGTTTCTAGCGTCGCCGCGCGGCCCCGACCGTACTTCGTTCCGCTCCTGCAGCAGGTTCTTGGTCTTACACCTCCTCCTCCTCCCTTAGAGGGTCCGCAGCCTGTCCGGTCACAGCCACAGCTACAGCCTGCCTCCCCTTTGCCTGCTCCTTCTCCCTATGCTGGTCCGACTGGAGGTCTTACTGAGCGTCGTGAGCCTGCGTCTCGTCCTGTGTCGCCTGTTCGTACTGAGCGCGCTAGTGGTCGCGGGTCGCGTCAGCGTCCTCCTCCTGTCCCTGGCACGCACCGGATGTCACTGCGTCCGTCCACTGCTCCTCTGCGTGCCCCTTTGCCTTCTCCTCCTGCTTCCTCTCTTCCTGCTCTTGCCAACCCGGAGTCAGACTCTCTTCGTGCTGCCAGTCCTACTGTCACGCGTCTCCTGGCTACTGCTGTCACTGACCCCTCCTTCGAGTCGTCTGCTGCGTCTGCCCTTGTCACTGAGCTTGTCGACTTTGCTGCGCGCTGTCGTCTAGACTACGCTGCTCGTCTTGTCTCTGAGTCTGAGTCCGCCTGTCCTCCGTCCGTCGGGGGTGAGTGTGCCCTTGGCACGGACGTCCTTGAGGACAGGCAGGAGGAGTTCCAGTGTCTGGCCGCCGCTTCACCTCGTCTCGCGTCTGTACTGCTAGCCCCTGAGGGAGACCCGGATGCACCAGACATCCCGACTCCGCGCTCTTACGCGGAGGCGATAGAGGGTCCCTACTCCTCTCAGTGGCAGGCAGCTATGGATGCAGAGATGGCTTCCTGGAAGTCCACAGGCACCTACGTTGACGCTGTTCCCCCTCCTGGGGCGAACATCGTCAGTGGCATGTGGATTTTCAGGGTGAAGCGGCCGCCGGGTTCTCCGCCTGTCTTCAAGGCGCGTTATGTGGCTCGTGGCTTCAGTCAGCGGCAGGGGGTTGACTACTTTCAGACCTTCTCCCCCACCCCGAAGATGACCACTCTTCGGGTTCTTCTACACGTTGCTGCTCACCGTGACTACGAGCTGCACTCTCTCGACTTCAGCACAGCTTTCTTGCAGGGCAGCCTGCACGAGGAGATCTGGCTGCGTCGCCCACCTGGCTTCACTGGGTCTTTCCCTCCTGGTACCCAGTGGAGTCTTCGGCGTCCAGTCTACGGTCTCCGCCAGGCGCCACGTGAGTGGCACGACACACTGAGGACTACGCTCGCGGCACTTGGGTTTGCTCCTTCCACTGCCGACCCGTCGCTGTTTCTGCGCACCGACACCTCTCTGCCGCCGTTCTACATCCTCGTGTACGTCGACGACTTGGTCTTTGCCACAGCTGACACTGCTGGACTCGCCTACGTGAAGTCCGAGCTGCAGAAGAGACACACGTGCACTGACCTGGGTGAACTGCGCAGCTACCTTGGCTTGCAGATCACCCGGGACAGAGCACGCCGCACCATTACCCTGACTCAGTCACACATGGTGCAGCAGGTCCTTCAGCGCTTCGGCTTCACGTACTCCTCGCCTCAGGCCACTCCTCTGCCTACTCGCCACTCGCTCTCAGCTCTGCCTTCGGATGAGTCCGTAGAGTCGAGTGGCCCGTTTGCAGAGCTTGTTGGCTGCCTCATGTACCTGATGACCTGCACACGACCTGACCTCGCATACCCTCTTAGCATTCTCGCACGCTTTGTTGCTCCTGGGAGACACCGACCAGAGCACATGGCTGCAGCGAAGAGGGTGTTGCGCTACTTGTGCAGTACGTCGGGCATGGGGCTAGTGCTTGGAGGGCGCAGTCCAGTGGTCCTCACTGGGCACGCAGACGCTTCTTGGGCTGACGACCAGGCTACGCAGCGGTCGTCACAGGGTTACACCTTCAGCCTTGGTTCCGGCTCTGTCTCGTGGCGGGCTACCCGCTCGTCTTCTGTTCTCGGCTCCAGTTGTGAGGCTGAGATCTACGCTGGGGCTATGGCTGCACAGGAGTTACGCTGGCTCACCTACCTGCTGACCGACCTTGGAGAGCAGCCTCGTTCTCCTCCAGTCCTGTACGTAGACAACAAGGCCATGCTGGCCTTGTGTCGAGAGCAGCGACTGGAGCACAGAACGAAGCACATTGCTCTTCGCTACTTTCTTGCTCGTGAGCTACAGCAGCGTGGACAGCTGCGACTTGCGTACGTGGCCTCTGAGGCCAACACTGCTGATGTCTTCACCAAGGCACTTGCGCCTTGTGATCATCAGCGTTGCTGCACGCAGTTGGGTCTTGTGCCTGTCTTGCCTCACTTGCTCTCCTCTTGACCTTGCTTGTACTTTCGCATATATATACTCTTGCTCTTGTATATCTCTATATATGATCTTGCATGTGAACTGGCCTTGTGGCCTTTGAACTTGTGCTCGGAATGTGTGGTGACTTTGTGATCCACCCTGAGCTTTGCTTTGCTTTGCTTGACTGGTCTTGTGACCCCTTGTTCTCCCCCACTTTGCCTATGGGGGTGTGTCAGAACTTATAGCTTACTTGTTTCTGTAGGCTATAGTGGGGTATCCCATAGGGGGTACAACCCAATTAGGGTTTCCTATTTGTACTCACTTCGTTCATAGTCATTTCATTCTCGTTCTTTAGTTTCACACCTTGTACTTGCAGATTTTTACTTCTGGTGAAAATGCCTTGATTCTCAGGTCCCATTTTAGGTGACGATTTTAAATGAACTCGACCATTGAAGCTTCGTTGGAGTAACTCAATGTCTTGAGCTTAAGATCAGCTTTATAACCTGAAAGTACAGATCTTCTTAAGCGACGTTAAGACTAACCGATGTTCACTGTTTGAACACAATGTTGGTGTCATTAACAAGCCCTTGAAGAGTAGATCCAGAAAATAGATTCAGATTGCTGAACTGGTTGAGGTAAGCTGGACATTTGCTGAATCAAAGTTCTCCTAAGGAGCCATGGCGGAGAGCTAATATTGCCTGAATCCTTCCATTCAAAGGTGCGTCAGCGGTGGAGGTTGTTCCGCTATGGCGGAACCCCAAAGGAGAACGACTGCAACGCATGATTCTGCTGACGATGCTGCGCCGCAAATTCAGTTCGATGGTCGCGGCGGCTCGCCAAATCGATGGAAATTCAATTTGGTGGAAATCAACGGGTCTCTCAACTCAACGGCAAATTCTGCTCCTTGATGCACATTCCTGCTGGATCAAACCATCGTCTGTGTGTTTGACCGGCAGCAACCATAAAAGCAGGTGGTCAAAGACATGCACTCCAAAGAAAGCGTACATTGCAGCCACCTTTTAGATCACGGTTCTGATGTCTGGACACCATCTGAAGTGTGGACACTTTGGTAGCAATGAACACGTCTGATTGGCTGTCATGCTCCAAGATTTCTTGCAACTTGTGTAATGACCAAGCTTCGCCCAGAACCGTGACCTTATTTCCATCTCAGAGCAATACAGCATTCCCAAACGCACCCCCCAGTCCAGGCTCTAGCATCCCACTACGAAATCGAATCAACCACGACCATCAAGATCCTTATCTTCAGCAGCTCAAGAATCTCCTGCTAGACCCCTCCATTCTTCCAAGAATGCTCCCTTCTTTATGCGCCACAAGCTGCGCGCTGATACCTCCGCTGCGCGCCACTAGTAGGTGTTGCGCACATGGCAGTTGAGGCGCACCTCGCCCTGCGTGCCGGTGAGCGGCGAAATGACACCCATCTTCACGAGCGACTTGGGGAACGCGTCGAACCACACGCTCTTGGCGTGCGCGAAGGCCTTCACTGCCTTCTCCGTCTTGTCGTCGTAAATGAGAGCCTGGTCGGTCGTGAACAGGCCCTTGTGCGCGAGGAGGTTCTTGTAGTACTGCGGAGGCGGAGAGACGTAGAAGCGAACGAAAATCGTGCGATGTTGTATTGAAGGGGCTAAGAAAGGGTGTGTGACAAGGTTGGTTTGATGCTAAAGAGGAGGTGAGAAGGGGAGAAGGATAGAAGGAAATGGGATGGAGTGGGTGGAAGTATGGGATGGGTGAAGTGGAGAGCCGAGAATTGAGATGAGAAGTCAGAAGAATCGTGTTGCTTACCTGGTTGTCAAACTTGTTTGGCGAAGCATAGTCATTCTCAATCATGGCCTTGGGGTCGATGTTGCTCGTGCCGCACTTCTGCTTCACGTACGCCGCGAATTCGGGGTCCATCGTGGGGTCGTCCTGCTCCAGGCGATTCTTCAGGCTCACGCAGCGGCCCTCCCCGATAGTGTGAGCTCCGCTAAGAGTCACAACGTCGGTCATATCGAGGCCGACGGTGTTGAAGTTATGGACGAGGCCAGAGACGTTGAGCGTGGAGCCCGGGAGGAACGTCTCCGCCGCGAGCGCGAATGACGTCAGCCCGTCGCGACGGCCCAGAGGCACCTCCGTGAAGGGACCGCCGGCCTGCGATAAGCGAAAATGCGGAATAGAAAATATACGAAGACATGGTGGATAAAATGAGTGAGATCATAAAAGGTGTGTGGGGGGGGGGGGGGGGGGGGAAGGAGGGGAGGGGGGGGAGGGGAGGGGATGGGACGAAGGGGAGGGGTGGATGTGCAGGGCGGTGCGGAGGATGAGGGGGAAAGAAAAGGAAAAGAAAATTGAAAAGCTTTTACAGTAAAGAGTGTGCGAGGACGTACCAGGTGAATGCCCTCGCGAGCGGCGAGAGCGAGAATGTCGGCGCAAGACACGACGCCGGGGCATTCCGCCTCAAGATGGTCCTTGATGTCGTCGACCACGTCGAACGCGCCGAGAGTGGCGTTGGGATCCGAATCCTTCTCCGCCTTGTTGTCTTCCGTCGAGTCGAGCAGCACGGACGCGTCGCAACCCTGAACAAGTGAACAGAAAATAAAACAGAAGGGCACGAGTACAAACGGAAACATTAGCGAGAGTGGCGTTGGGATCCGAATCCTTCTCCGCCTACTTGTCCTCCGTCGAGTCGAGCAGCACAGACGCGTCGCATTCCCTGGAGAAAAAAAGGCAGAAAGAGAGTTTCGTGAATTTGGTTTACCCTCACAGCGACAAGTATAAATGTATTTCACATGGTTCATGTGCGTTGCGGCCATGTCGCAATGCGGCATTCCCTGCCTCCACCTCGCGAAGCGCACTTATAAACAACCATACGCGCGTTCGGCATGAAAATGTCACACATTCACAGCCCCGACGGCACGCACCTGGACGAAGCAGTCGTGGAAGTGCAGACGCAGCAGCGGCGCGGGGACGGCGGGGTCGTTCTTGTACGCCTGGTATACGCGCGCCGCGACAATCTCCGCCGCCTTGGGGCACGTGGACGCGTAGTAGTTGTACGACAGGCCGCCGCCGCTGCTCGAGCCGTCACTGCTGCTGCTGTAGTGGTTGTCGTCGTGGCTGCTGTCGCTGCTGCTGTCGTCGTGGCTGCTGTCGCTGCTGCTGTCGTCGTGGCTGTCGTCGCTGCTGCTGTCGTCGTGGCTGCTGTCGCTGCTGCTATCGTCGTGGTTGTCGTCGCTGCTGCTGCCGTCGTGGTTGTCGTCGCTGCTGCTGTCGTCGTGGTTGTCGTCGCTGCTGCTGTCGTCGCTGCTGCTGTGGTCATCCGACGACGACGAGTCACTGCTGTCATGACTGTCGTCGTGGTAGTCGTCCGAACTGCCGTCATGCGAATTGTCGTTGTTGCTGTCGTCGTGCGACGAGCTGTCGCTGCTGCTGTCGTCGTGCGACGAGCTGTCGCTGCTGCTGTCGTCCGTCAAAAGCCGCATCTCCTCGCGATGCGGGTTCTGGGTCAGGACGCCGAAGCTACGCCGATGCGCCAGCGCAGGGCGCGAAACAAGCGCGGCGGACACAACGAGCACCGCCAGAAGAAGCACGCGGGGCGACATTTTGACAGAATATCCTCGACAGGAATCCAGGAAGTGAAGAATGCCACGCAGAAGAACCCAGCGCGAATTCGGAAAAGAGGAAATTGGAGAGGGTGAGGAGGTGAATTTGGAAATCGGCCCCTGTAATGGATGACGGATTGCAATGCCGAGGGCGCCTGCTCTTATACAACGCGGGGTAAGAGATTTGCACGTTGGACTTTCTTGGGGGGGGGGGGGGGGGGGGGGGGGGGGGGGTGGTTCGGCGGTGAACGAAAGGCTCGGACTCCGAGTGCGCAGTGCGCACCCTAGCCCTCCGCTGAGCTTACCGGACCATGGGGGCTCCATGGCTTGGCGCTGGCTGGGGAGGGGAGGGGGGCGAGAAGGGGAAGAGTGCAGCAAATGCTGAAGCGCCAGGACAGGGAGGGAGGAAAGGCGCGGCGCGGAGCGAAACAACTCTGCGCTTGGTTGGGAAGAGGGCGCGTGGTCAAGAAGAAGAATCGCGTGGCTTCAGCCTTGGCTTGCACGCCAGCTTCCCGCGGAAGGCTGCCCTTCGCAAACATGGGTGACATGCCCCCTCCACATTGCGCGTCGCATCCACCCGAGCCTTGCCAGGCTGGATGGTTCCGTTTTTCCTAGCCTAAGAACTACTGCTCGCAGAGCGCAACCATGTCCTCTGGTTAGGCCCCCTATCAAAAGGCTCGAAGATCTGCCGAGCCTTAAGGGGCTAGCGTGTCGCGCTTGTCGGTGGAATGCCCTCTGTTTTCCCACACTGGTGCCCTCGCCGGGGACCAAGGTGCCTAAACCGTACTGTACAGCACTGTACCAAGAGAGAATCAGAGATCCGCGTTGGCGTGTGTCACCGCACGCAACACAAACCTTCACAATTCGTTCTGCCTTATTACGTGGCCTTCTGGCTGACTGCTCTTGCCAGCTGTCCATCCAATCCAGTACCACAAGCCACTCCAAGTCAGCACGGTGGTGATAACTCATGATGGGAAGCATCATTCTCGCTATTAGCTGCTGTCTGTGCAGACTACACCTAAAAAAACGATTTTGGATTAACCCCCCTTTATTGATGAAATTGTGACGAGCACTTGCAGGCACAGCAGAAACTGTTGATGGACATTCCGAGGAATCTAGCGTGACAGTTTTACACAATTTTCTTAGCCCAATTGGCAGTGTCACGCTCCCTATCATCATTTAACCATTTGTTGACAAGTAGCGAGTCGATAAATATCTGCAATCGCAACAAAAGCACAAACTTTCTATGTTATACAACGCACCAAACCAGAGTGTCCGCCATGAAAAGACAAGCCCAAAATAATAAGATACATCCGCACACACAATAGAAGCATAGCTTCACACAAAAAACCGAAAGGTAAAGCATTTAGCTGACCTGGAGAAAATGGGTGAGGATGCATGGCAGAAGGACCAATGCTGGCTCGCCCATAAGTGTTCCAATCTTCTCCACCACTGTTGCAGCCACTGGAAGGGTTTTCTGCCACAGGGTGACGAACATTACAAGGGTACGGGAGTTTGCAGAGTGTCACAAACAGAGCTACTTGAAAATATAATTTAAAAAATTGGATAGAATCCAGTCCGTGACACAGGACATCCATTGGAATAGGTGACACGAAGGTAGTACTCACCAGGATACGGGAATAGTTGATATGCTTATGTTATTAATGTATTGTTACCTGACTGGAGAGGATAATGACGGCTCTATCGACAGCGTTGGCCTCTTGAAGGGGAAGGGGAGGGGTGATTCGCCTCAGAGCCGCCATCACTCCCATGTTTAAAGCCAGGAAGGACAGATGGACGGCTCTGATTTGAATTCAGGGGAGGGATTGGGTGGAATTTAGAGGGATTGGGAAGGATGAGGAGGGATCGGTAGGAAAAAACGATCTCTGTTCACTCAGAGTAGTTGGTTGACACTTCCGTCCACAATAATGGACTCTTGAAGGGGAAGGGGAGGGGTGATTCGCCTCAGAGCCGCCATCACTCCCATGTTGAGCGCCAGGAAGGACAGATGGACGGCTCTGATTGAAAGTCAGAGTGGGATTGGTAGGGATTGGGAAGAATCGGAGGGATCGGGAGGGGTTGGTTAGGGTCGGGAGGGATTGAGAGGCGAGAGGAAGGAGTTATCTCAAACCTCACAGATTCGTCCACAATATTAGGGCGTATCCCTGGGTGGTGGCAGGGCCACTGTAGATGGCAGCCTGCCACGAACACATAAAACGCCAGGTTGGTGTCAGGAAATTTGGCGCGCGAATACAGGTGCGTGATTGGGCAATGCCCCAAAAATGTCACTTCAATGCCACCAAATACGAGTCGCGCGGGGCTCGGTAAAAATGTTGGTGGCATGCGGTTTTCCCGCATGCCACCAACTCTGCCATCTACAGTGGCCCTGCCACCACCCAGGGATACGCCCTTAGCCTCTTGAAATGGAAAAGGAGGGGTGATTCGTTCGAGGGACAATTAGAACAACCAAAGGCAAACGTTGTGGAGTGGACGTACATGCCAGTGCCAGCAACAGCAGCAGCAATGTGCAGCAGTTGCATGCATGTTGCATGGGTAACATGTGGGATGTGGGATGTGCCCAGACTGTTGATTGATACACACAGACCATGGCAAACTATGATGTGGCATGGACATACATGCCAGCGGCGGCAATGGGTAGCAGTTGTGTCATGTCGAGACGAAGAATCGCCGCCCGGGCGGAACTGACTTGCATCCAGGGTACCTGGAGAGGACCACGAGACACACACACACACGCATGAGTTTAGTTTTAAGGCGCATCAAAACTCACCTCAATACACACATGAGTTTTGTGGTGCGTGTATGGTTCAGAAAAAAATCGGTGAGTTGGGAGGGTGAAAGCTGCAAGAACAAGAGATGTCTGACGGTTTAAGGGATGGAAAAAGAAAGAAGTTCAATCTAGGGGGCGGAAGCACGTATGGAAAAGGAAGTGGGGGGCGGGGTAGAAACCCACATGAATGACGCAAATGAGGGGTAAGAGGAACGCACGAATGAGAGCATGGCGTTGTTGGCCATCGAGAGCTGCTGCTTGCGCTGATCAGCCCACGTGGCAACAGCTGATTGGATCATGAGGAGGAATGGGAGACAAGGGAGAAAGGAGAGTGAGTAAGAAGGACTTCATGCTTCCTCATGAAGGGACGGAGAATGATATCCAAACAAAGTGAAATGGCACCATCTTTCCACGGCTAATTCACTGAGGTTTCTCCATGCAGGCAGGCAGGCTAGCAGAGGCTGGGGATGCAGAACAGTTGAGTGGTTGTGGTAAGCACCTGGAATGCTTCGTCGCACTGCCTGAGTTACAAGCCCATTCGGATATGCGAGGGATTGACGATGGCCCCGTTGTGAGAGAGTAACCACGTTGAAAAGGACAGGTGGAGGGGAATGCATTGAGGAAAGGAAGAAGTAGAAAGATGTTTTTTTGCTCTCTCTCTTTTCTTCTGAGATTCCACGAGCTGCCCATTTTTTGCAGCGACCGATGGCCTCAGAATTGTGGGATGATAAGCGAAGGGGATGAGATGTAGTGATCATACGAGTGGGAACAGAAAAGGCACCTAAATAGCGCCCAAAAGCAGGGTGTTTAATTTGACTATACAAATTCTACTAATGTGATGCCGCAAATCACACCGTACTATACCACACCACGCCACACCGCACCACACCCCACCACACCACACCACGTCATACCATGCCAATGAAGAGAGGAACGAGGAGAGTGGTAACCAGCCCGCGTAACAGTGGCCCTGCTGGTACTGACACGCCCCCACTTGCTGGAACGAGCCTTGATAGGAGTAGAGGCATCTGAGAAAGAGACCGGAGGGAGGGGAAAAGGGGGGGGAAGAGGGAGAGAAAGTGGAGAGAGAAGGGGAAGAGTGGGCTGGAGTGTCGTATATAGGGCACGGCACATGTCCGAGTGACCAGGGCCCTGCTGATACTGCCACGCTCCCACTGGCTGGAACGAGTTTTGAGGTGCCTCAAAAGTGACCAGGGCCCTGCTGATACTGCCACGCTCCCACTGGCTGGAACGAGCTTTGAGGCGCCTCAAAAGTGACCAGGGCCCTGCTGATACTGCCACGCCCCCACTTGCTGGAACGAGCAGGACGGGAAAGCGCGGGGAAGGGGAAGGGGGAGGGAGCAGGAAGGGCGTTGGGGTGTTGCAGTTGGGGGCTTGAGGAAAAGGGGAGGGGGAGGGAGAGGGGAGGGGATTGGGGTGTTGAAGATGGGGAGTTGAGGGGGAAGGGGATGGTGCATCGGCCATGCTGGCCCTGAGATGGTGCATCGGCCATGTTGGCCCTGAGATGGTGCTGGTATTGAGTGGAAAGGGTTAAGAATAGGGTGTTGTAGCCAGGAAATGACATCTGTGGAAGGTTGGGGGAATCAGGTGAATTATCTGGCTGGCTGCGAGTAACATGAAGGTGTCAAACGGTGGGGCTTATAGTGGGAGAGCTTACAGTGAGTATGCCAATAGTGTTGGTGACGACAGTTAGGCCGAGAGCCAATGCTGTGTTGGCATGTGCTGCCTGGTGGGAGAAAGGCCGGGCAAATAGGGGAAAATGGAGAGAAAAATAGCAGGGCGAGAGACAGGCAAGAGTGAGAGGGAAGGAAGTGGGTTTTCGTCCATCTAACCAGAGAGCTGATTCTTTGAAGGGAGGACGAGAGGGAGGGACGGATAAAGAGGGGGCCAGGGTGTTTCTGAGGATTCTCGAAAACACCCGGAGGAGACAGACATTGGGAGAGGGGGGCTATGACTTTAACACGTGAAGGCCGAGCTGCGAGTGATTCCTGCGGTGATGACGGCAGGCAGGCATACAGCAGAAGAGACGACCCTGAGTCAAAACACTTAACGAGACACCTATGTTAACGAGAAGTGTTTTGAGACGTCTCAAAACACGTTCATACACGAGGCATGCAGCATGCCAGTCAACTCAGAAGACGGCGCCTCTGCCAACGAGAAGGCCATTGTCCAGTCGATTCGACTGTAATCATGAATGAAACCATCATGAATGAAACCATCATGAATGAAACCATCCTGATTCTCATGCTGTGCCTACCCGTGCAAGAGAGATGCCTGCGGTGATGGTGGCAGGCATGCAGCAGAAGAGCGCGAGACCTGTGGGGATGAGGAGAGGAGTGACGGTAAAAAAGGGGAGAGCAAAGTAGGAGAGCGTAAGTTGGGGATGGGAAGGAAGGGATGCCTGCTGTGATGCTGGCCGGCATGCAGCAGAAGAGCGCGGGACCTGTGGTGTGAGGCGCGGAGGTGCAGAGGGATGTGGAGGGGTTGGGGAGTGAATTAGAGGCAAAAAGGGAGATAGGGCAATGAGGGTGCATGCTGTGTGATGGTGGCAGGCATGCAGCAGAAGAGAGCGCGAGGCCTGTGGTGATGTGGCGATGCGAGGTGATTGGGGAGCAACAAGCTAACAGGGAGAGCAATGGAACCCCACATTATACTGAGCTGACTTTTGAGTCGATTTTTGAGTCGACTCAAAAATCAACCCCACATTATACTGAGCTGACTTTTGAGTCGACTCAAAAGTCAGCTCGGTGATTGGGGAGCAACAAGCTAACAGGGAGATCGCAAGGCAGGGAAGGGAGGAGGGGGCAAGGTTGGTTGGTTGCAGGCATGCAGCAGAAACAAGAAGCTGGATGGGGAGCGAAGAGCACAGAGGGAGAGCGTAAGGCGGGGGGCGGGGCGGGGGTGTGGATCCAGAAAAGGTGGGGGGGGGGGGGGGGGGGGGAAAGGGGGGGTGTCAGCGTAAGGTGGGGGCGTAAGGTGGGGGCGGGGTTCTCTATCCATGCAGAAATGTTGGTGGCAGAAATGATTTTTAAGTCGACTTAAAAATCGACCTATCCATGCAGAAATGTTGGTGGCAGAAATGATTTTTAAGTCGACTTAAAAATCGACCTATCCATGCAGAAATATTGGTGGCAGAAATGTTGGTGGCAGAAATGTTGGTGGCAGAAATGCATCAGACGAGCCAACAGGGAGGAAGGCGAAGGTGGAACCAACGAATGAAGGCATGCTTACCAAGCGGAACCGCACTGCACACCTGTGGGTAGCTCCCGTGGCAGCAGCGGCAGGCGCAGCACGAGCAGGGCCATGAGGGGCGTTATGGCGAGCGTGGATAGCTGCAGGGAGGGCGGGGTGAGGAGGGGGAAGTGATAGGGATGAGGGATAGAGAGTGTGTGAAGGGGCAAGTGCAGCAGGGGCAGCAGCGGCAGGCGCAGCACGAGCAGAGCCATGAGGGGCGTTATGGCGAGAGTGGATAGCTGGAGGGAGGAGAGGGGAGTGAAAGGGATAGAGGGAGAGAAATGGGAAATGCGCAGCTGGAGAGGAGTTTTGAGTCTACTCAAAACTTGTATCTGGTGAGGCCATGAGAGGGCTGAGAGGTTGCGGGGAGGCGGCGGCGAGGAGGCAGCATGGCGAGTGTGGAAAGGCAAATGGAAGGGGGGGGGGGGGGGGGTGGGGGTGGTAATGGACGGGGCCAGAGGAAAAGGTTGAGGGGGAAGGCGGGGGGGGAATTGCAATGCAATCCCGGCATGTGTATTGCCTGGATTCCAGCAGAGTGTAAAACGCGACAAAAACTGCAAGCCACGTAATGGCCAAGTCAATGAATGGTTAGCGCGAGAGATGCTACTGGTGAAGTGCACAGAAGACGGCTGGGACGTGACTGAATAGAGGGCGCAATGGGAAACACACCGAGCCGTAGAGGTAGGCGGGCCACGAGCTGGCTGGTCCTTTTTGAGGCGCCTAAAAAACATGAGATAGGCCCATAGGCGGCTGATAGGCGGCTCAGAGAGGGGGGACACACCGAGCCGTAGAGGAAGGCAGGCCACGAGCTGGCTGCTCTGCGGAGCTCCTCCAGGTCCAACGCAATGCCTGGTGAGTGCATGTGACACAGGAGGTGATGTGGCATGGGAGGAGACGTGGCATGGGAGGTGACGTGGCATGGGAGGTGATGTGGCATGGATGTGACGTGGCATGAGAGGTGACGTGGCACCGGAGTACCTACAAATCCGCCTCCGCCTCTTCATTTCCCCACCCTACCAACTTTAGTGTCTGAGCTTCACTCTACCATCATCAATCTCTTCTCTTCCCTACCTACCCCACACCGTACCCACCGGAGACAAAGAAGATGCCAAACGTGCAGTAGCGGGCGAGGCCGATTTTTGACTGGGCGTAGATGCCCGGAGCAGGATTCAGTACTGCCAGCGCGATTCCCGTGCTGATGGCTGCAGGAGAGGAGGGTGGAGGGGGGGAATGGTACGATTTTTCTAAGGTCTATAGCAAAGCTATCTGGGACTGGGCGAAGGCTTTGGGAGCAGGATGCAGCACTGCCAGAGCGATTCCCGTGCTGATGGCTGCAGGACCGGAGGGTGGTGGAGGGGAAATGGATATGAATAGTCTGAGCCCCAAAGCAAAGCCGATGTTAGACAGGTGGAACGTGAGTACAGCTGCCTTCCAGGACTTTCTACTCACCAACGAGGAGAAAGTTGCTGGTAACAAACGCGCGAACTCCCTTGGCGAACCTCACGAGCGCTCCCTCTTCGCGTTTCGCCTCCATCTCGCCGTCCGCATTCCGCGGGGTCCCCTCCGAACCAGCATCCCTTCTTTCTCTTCTCCCCCCTCTTCCCTCGCTTGCGCTCGCGGAACTCCCGCGAGCTCTCAGCGCCTCTGCTGGCAAATCTCCGCCATTCCCCGCTCTCCGTTCCTCACCATTCACAGACTCCTCTCCGCTTGCCTTCCCCGCTCCAGTTCCTTCCCCGGATCCCCCGCATACTGCTTCCTCCGATCCTCCGCCTCCCGCTTCCCCCTCCCCTCTCGTTTCCGCCTCATCCACGAGTCCCACCCCTCCGCCGATTGCAGCTCCCGGACTTGGATGGATGGTTCGAAGGATTCTCCGGCCAGCTATTCTTTGTCCGACATAGCATCGGAAGCCTTCGGGGCTGTACGCTGCCGCTGACGATGCTGGGGTTATAGAAGAGATCACCCTCCGCGTCAAACGGCTTGATACATTGTCACTGGCAGAAGGTCGTGTTTCTCTCGTTACCGTTACCACTGACCTGATGGTTACAGATGGCTTGCAAGTGATGGTTACCCCACTCTTCGCTAATCGTAAACTTTCGCTTCTACTCGCGAATGAAGAAGGCCGTGCTGTGTTTCTCAGGCTCAAGCAGTCTGAGAAAGTGGACAGTTTTGCCGTCATGGCGCTTTCACTAGCCCAGACCGTCATTCGCCGTTCTCAGGGATAAATAGCTAATGGGCAACCCTGTCAAGGTGGCTGTCGCTTCATTAACATAACCACTAAGAGAAAACAACTTTGCGTTCTAAAACGTTTGAAATAGCTTTCACAACGGCTAAGTGAGGTATTGAGTGAACTTGACTGTTTGCACAGTTCGCCTGAACGGGTCACGGCACGGATAAGGCATTCTGGCAGTTTGGTTGGATCAGCTGTTTCGAACCACACATGCGCGCGCAGCGCAAAGTGACGTGGCTTCGGTAGGTGCCGATCGGAGAATCTTGTTCGTCAATTTCAGTCAGCGGAAGAGGGAATTCTACAGCTTTCATTGGTTGGATCAACGCCTTTCATTGGTTGGCTTGGCTGGTAAAGCGGCTCGAAAATGAAATTATCCCTCCGTTATTAGTAACCTCGATATTTTGCGAATATCAGAGATGCTGCTCAATTTCGTCCTAGGTCTGTAACACATTTCTCCTCAAACTGCATTTCGGCAACTGACTGCGGCTTCGCCCAGCGCAGGAGCACAATCTCGAGAACGTCGAGGACGCTCTTACATCACACTCGAGACATCCATGCCGTCCATTTCGTCATCGCCGTTACGATGCTGTGAAGCTAACCGTCACACTAACATCGTAACAGTCATGCTGTCCTGAGGTGCTTGTCGCTGAACGCACCGTAATGTACCGCATTTACCCTCTCTTTGTGCCTTCAAAACCGTACTACTCGCATTTCACAACCCCTCCGTCTCCGATTTTACCTCACTGTACCTCCACAATGCTGCAAGTCCAGCCAGTCCAGACTTCGAGGTCCACGCACAAGCGTTTCTTTTCTCTGTTTCATGGCTTCCAGAAGAACGTAATCCGTGCCACTTCCATCTGGCTCACCACGAGTCACGACACGACGAGCATAAGCTGCATTGTCCGTACCTCACACGTCCCCCTCGTGGCTGCTTACGTGGTCCCTCTGCTTGTTTCCGTAACGTAACTGACTGGACTTTTCCTCGCTGACCCTGGTCAACGTTCATTCTCTTCCCTCCTTTGTTGGCGTTGTTCAGAATTTCAAACTTGACATCCTGCGAGGCTAGATAGCTGAGGGCTGAGCTGCCTGAGTTAGTTCCGTCATCATTTTATTTCTAGTAGTAGCCTAAGAACCTTGCTTTCAAGTAGTAGTCTAGCCATTTTGCACGGCGAGCAGCTTAGGGTAGTCTGACCTCGTCTGCATTTCAACTTTTCCGACTTCGCCGACGCCGACCAGCGTCCAGCTACCAATCTAACATCTTTACCTAAGTGTTTTTTAATAGTCTTCGCGCCTTTTTACCCAGCAAGACTTCGTTAGGACAAGAGCGTGTAATAAGGTAGTGTTGCCAAACTCGAGCAACGCCGCGTCTGTTGTCGCGCAGTTCAGACTTGTGTTGAAGGCCTGGCGCCTTGAAAGAAACGCGTTTCAAGGGCTGGCCCCCGTCAATAAACGGGTTTCAAAGGCTAGCTTTTTTTATCACGGAATCATGGCGTCATCCGCTACCGACCGAACCGGGCCCTCTCCCCCGAGGCTCTGGATGGTGGAAGCGAATTCCGTCAAGAACATGGAACTGAACGGTGCTCTGTTAACGTTAGCGTTACACGACCGGCAGAAGCAGCTGGAGAAGGAAGCCGCTGAGAGAAGGCTCGGAGTTCCCGGTGGTAGAGACGCGGATAGGGAAGCGGCAGGAGGAGGAGGAGGAGGAGAGGTGGAGCCGAATCAAGAAAGAAGAGGAGCAGCAGGAGCAGGAGGACGCGAAGGGGTGTTGGAGTCGAGTCCGGGAATTGAAATTGTGCTGTGCTTCGTGGCGGGAGAAGGGCTAGGCATTCGTAAGTACTGCTGCCCTAACCTCTCGTGTGTACATGCGTTTGTGACGTCTCAAAACTCGTCACAATAGGGTGGGCTGGCATTGAGTTTAGGGTTGGACGATATTGTGCTGTGCTTCGTGGCGTATAATAGCTCAGCGTTTGTGAGTAGTCTTGCCCTAAACCCTCCTGTGTATAGGTATCTGTAGTAGTCCAGGGTGTGTTTGGTTTGGTGGGCCTTAGGCGAGGTCAAGTGATATTTCTTTTTTTCACTGCCTCCGCGTTCTCCTGCATTTCCTATCTCGTGCTGGAGCAGCCGCTGTTGGAGCAGTGTGGGCAGGCGCGCGCGGGTGCCTGTGCGCGTGCACGTGGAATGGGGGCAGTGGCGGAGGCCGAACGAGGGGGCAGCAGCACTGGCGTGACAATGCCTTACTGAGACACCTCTTTTCTTCTCTGCTAAAAAACCCTCTCTTTTTGAATCCTGCTTCCCTCCCGCCCCTTCCCCTTCTTTTCAGTGGGCGCGGCCCTCCAGCAGAAGAGCGGTGGGGGCAGCGAGGGGGTGTCCCCTGTACTGCAGGCGCTGCTGCACTCCCTGCTGAAACCCCTCTTTCCCCTTCTGCTTCCCGCCTGCCCTACCCTGTCTCTCCTCAGTGGGCGCGGCCCTTCAGCAGAAGGGCAGCGGGGGCAGCAGCGAGGGGGTGTCCCCTGTACTGCAGGCGCTGCTGCAGCCGCTGCTGGCGCAGTGCGGGCAGGCGCGCGTGCCTGCGCGCGTGCACGTGGAGTGGGGGCAGCGGCGGGACGAGGCGCTCTGTCAGGCCGTGCGGGCCACTGCAGCAGAACGGCTCTACGTGGGGAACAAGAGGTGGGTGGGTGGGGATCAAGCGGGATCTGCCAGGCCGTGTGGGCCACTGCAGCAGAACGGCTCTACGTGGGGAACAAGAGGTGGGTGGAAGCAGCAAGGGAAGTGGGTGGGTGGGTGGAAGGGGACGACGAGGTGAGCTGGTTGCGTTGTTGTGCCTTGTCTACCCCCTGAATGCAGCAAGGCAACCAGGCTCGTGGCACAGCAATCAATCAGTATCAAACTCCTCCCCCATTTCCCCTCTTCTCCCACCCCTCCTCCCCTCTCCCCCCCCCCCCCAGGTTTGTCTTCCGCCTTCTCACTCAATCCACGCACCCCTTGCTCCGCCGCCTCCCCCCTGGCTGCATGCTAGTGGTGGGCCAACCAGGCTCCTCCTCCTCCTCCTCCTCCTCCAAACGCTCACGCAAGTCCAAACCACGCAAAGGCAGCCCCTCCAGTCCAAATCCTGCCGCCCCTGTTGCGTCGGCATCGCCTCGCTTCCCTGACTCGCATTCCTCGTCTTCTTCTGCCACTCCTGCTTCACGCAAAGCTGGCTCCTCTGGCTCTTCCTCCTCCTCTGCGGCTCATGCTCCTGCTGCCACCGCCACCGCCGCTGCTGCTGCTGGCTATCCTGCTGATGAACACTGTTACGACAATGACGGCGGAGAAAACGACGCTGGAAGTGACAACGACAACGACTATAACGAGAACGACTATAACGAGGATGAGGATGATGAGGAGGAGGAGGACGACGACGATGACGATGGGTACGACGCGGTGTGTCGGCCCAAGTCCTCCTTCACTATAGCGGACTGGGAGGCAGAGCTGCAGCGGGTGGCCATCGGGCAGCAGAGGATCGTGTCTCTGTGGGATAGAGCGGAGGTGGCGGGTCGTGTGCGTGCCGGGAGTGCTGCTGCCGCCTTGGGAAGCCCTGGTGGGGTGCCTGCTGCTGGTAGCGTTGGCTTTGGTGCTGGTGCTGCTGGTGCTGCTGGTGGTGTTGGTGCTGGTCGTGGTGGTGGTGGTGGGGGTGTTGCTGCTGGTGCTGGGGTGCCAGCGGTGCTGCTGCCAACACCGTCGACAGTGCATGAGGAGCAGCATCAGCAGCAGGTGCTGAAGCAGCTTCAGTTGCTGCAGCAGAAAAAACAACAGCAACAGCAGCAGCAGTCACAGCAACAGTCGCAGCAGCAGTCGCATCACCTGCCCGAGCAGCAGCAGAACCTGCCCGCCGGGCAGCGAAAATTCCGCCCGTTGCGAATCATCGTCCCAGATAGCACCTCCCCCCACCCGTCCCGCACACCCACCCCCAGCCCTGGCTGCCTTAGCGCCTCCAGCAGAGACGGGCGAACCCCAGGTGAATCCTCAGGTGCTTTTGGGCCGTATGCTGGGAACAGTGGCAGTATGAACAGTAACACAGGATTCAGCCGCGCGGCTAGTCAAGACAACCCAAACACACTCGTCCCCCTGGCTTCCCCCAGAGGCTTTTCTCTCCCTGGAACAAGCCCTGGAGCATTAACCCCAGGAGGAAGAGCAGCAGGAGGAGGGGTGGGAAGAAGAGGAGGGGGCATGGGGGACGAGGCGGGGGCGGCAGGGGACAGAACAGCTGTAGCTGTAGCAGCAGCGGCGGCGGCAGGAGCAGCAGCAGGGTCGAACAGTGGGCCAGTGTCAGAGGCAGACCGGCAGCGCATGATGAGGCTGCAGCAGCAGATGCGGCAGCAGTTCACTGGGCTGCAGAAGATTCTGGTCGAGCAGCACAAGCCGTCCCCCGTGCACCCTGCTCTGGCAGGCGGGCAGCAGCAGCAGCAGGGGCAGCAGAGGCAGGAACAGGGGCAGCAGAGACAGGGGCTGCAGCAGGTGCAGCAGCAGCAGGATCAGCAGGAGAAGCAGGATGAGCAGCGGCAGCAGGGGACAGGCCACCACACGCGCAGGCACTCCGGCTCTTCCTCTTCTGCCTCCATCACTCCCCAGGGCACCCCCCCTCCCCACCCCACCAGGGGCCGAGGCTTCTTCCCCTCTTCCTCCTCCGTCAGTGGTACTACCAGCACCAGCAGCAGCAGCAGCAAGGGGGGACAGGGGGCGCACGGGGGGTATGGCAAGGGGACGGGGCAGGGGGAGAAGACGTATGGTGGGGAGAGATCGCATGGGGATAAGTCTCCTCTGTGGAAGGGGTTAGAGAGTGTGGCAGCTGGGTTGTCTGCTATTCACTCTGATATGCAAGCTGCCAAGAGCTCAGGTGGACGTTCAGGTGGTTTCTCAGGTGGTTTCTCAGGTGGGTTTTCAGGTGGGCGGACCGGGTGGCATTCGCACCAGGGGAGCGAGGATTTCCATGTGAAGGGAAACGAGTTTGAGGGAATCGACACGAGCCTACTCATCGTTCCTCGTATCGCCCCAACCTCAGCCTCTGTAGGAGGTTCGGCGGCAGGCTCGGGAGCAGCTTCGGTAGGCTCGCCGTCGCCGAACGTAACCCCGCTCACAGGCCCAGTGGGGGGTAGAGGGACCGGAGGAATGAAGGTAGCAAGGACTGTATCCCACGAGCAAGCAATAGGGGGAGGGAGAAAGGGAGGGAGAGAAGGAGGAAGCAAGGCAGAAAGAGAGAGCGAAAGAGGGATTTTGAAGGGTGGATTGGAGCAAGGGGAAAATCACCCTGAGAAAAGCTTGAAGGGAGAGGGATCCCCAGCTTTACCCCAGCAACCTGTGGTGGTGGGGAAGAAGCTGTGGGTGTCTGGCAGGAGGAGCATGGGGAGTGAGGGTGAGATGGGGGGTGGGGTCGAGGCAGTAGCAGCAGAGGTTGCAGCAGCAGTAGGGAACGCTGCAGCGGTGGCAGCAAGAGAAGGGTCAAGAGATGGTGGGTCGTGTGGTGCTGCTAGCCCTGCTAACAGCAGCAGCAGCAGCAGTAATCCGGGAATGGGGAGCACTGAGCAGCAAGCTTTCCCTATCCCGCTTCCTTCCTCCTCGTTCTCGTCCTCCTCCTCCCAAGCCGGATTCCAAACCAGCCGGGTAGACTCGGCGGACTGCCACCGCTTCCCCCCGGACCAGATTCTCCGAGCCACGGGGGGCTTCTCACCCTTGCAGCTGATTGGCCAAGGCAGGCTCGGGCCGAGTTACTGGGGGGAGATATTTGGGTGCCAGGTGGCGATCAAACTGCTGACTGTGCATGAGGACACGTGTGGAAGAACAGACAAGAATGAGAAGACTGAAAAGACTGCAGTAGATGGTGCAGAGGGGGGAGGGGGAAAGCAGGAAGAGGAGCGAGTGGTGGAAGCAGATGGTGCCGCTGTTGCCTCATCGGGTGCGTTTGGCTCCTTCGGTTCATCCGGTCTCCTTGATCCGTCCACAGAAGGGGGAGGTCAAGTGTCCCGAGAGAGAGTACAAGCAGCAGTGCAAGCAGCAGTGGATGTGTTAAGGCGGCTCAGGCACCCGCACCTGCTGCTGCTGATGGGCCACTGCCCCGAGTACCCCTGCCTTGTGTATGAGTTCGCTCCTGGGGGCAGCCTCTCCTCTCGCCTCTCCCGCATCCACTCCCTTATTGCCGCTGCCACTGCTGCTGCTGCTGGTGATGGTGGTGGTGGTTCTGGTGGTGCTGGTGGTGCTGCTACTGGAGCAGAGGAGGGTGTTGGTAACAGCAGCAGCGGTGCAGGGGACGGTGCTGCCGCTTCTCCTAGTGGAGAACGGGGCATTACCTTCGGAGAGGAGGAAGAGGAGGAGCTAGAGGCAATATGGCTGTCCTGGGTGGACCGGCTGCGACTGGCCTCTGAGCTGGCAGGAGCACTGCTCTTCATGCACCAGCACTCGCCGCCAGTGCTGCACGGCGCCGTGACTCTACAGAACGTGCTTCTGGACCGAAACTCCGCGTGTAAACTCAGCGGTGCTGGCCTCTCATTCTCCTCGTCTCCATTCTATGGTAGCCTGGGGAGCAGCCCTCTCTCTGCTTCTGCCTGTGCCTCGGATTCTGACCCCAGCAGCAGCACAGCAGTGGGAGCGGAGGGTCCAGGCCAGCATGGCCCCAGCAGCACAGGCGTACTAAGTGACGACCTGCATGCATACGGCATTGTGGTGTTACAGCTGGTAACCGGCATCACCAGCCCCTCACTTATCCACTCCCTCATGCACACGCACTCGACTGCAGCAGGAGGTTCAGGGGCAGGTGGTGGGGGTGGGATGGATGGGCACAGGGAAGACTCAGCTGGGGAAGCAGCAGGCAGGGTGGCCGGGGGAGGGGTTTCTGGGGGAGGTGTTACCTGCGGGTTCAACCTGGCTGAGGCTGTAGACGTGTTTTTGAGCCGACTGGATGTGACAGCAGGGGAATGGCCAGTGGAGATTGCATCTGTGGTGGTGCTTCTGGCTCTGCGCTGTGCTTCGGGACAGGCAGAGCTTCGGCCGGATCTGGCGGCTGAGGTGCAGCCGGCCCTGTCGGCTTTGGCTCGGGAAGCGGAGGAGAGTTTTGGGCGGGCAGCCCGGCAGATGCTTAGGTCTGCCCTGAGAAGAAGGGACTTCTCTTGCTTCCAAAAGAAAGCTGTGAAGGTATGGTGTCATATTATCGTCATGTGCTTGCCTTGTCTGCTGTCCTTGGATCTAAACTTAACGTGTTTGTTCTGCGTTTTTCTTCTTTTGCAGATTGAAGATGAGGCATCTCCTGCTGCCGTTCATGACACAACGAGGCATCATAGAGTTAGGAAGCTAATGGAGTCCCTAGTCCCGCACAAGTCTCCTTCGCTGCGTGCGAAGGGATGGATGAGAACAAAATCTATCAAAGGGTAGACACATCCAGCTTGTTGTGTCCATTCTTGTCACGCTATGCTGACCATGCTTGATATATACGAAGTAGTATGAAAGTGGCTGCATCAATAATTCCTTCAAATAGGTGATCTGTGCCATCATATTCCTAATGTGCTGAACATGAAAGTGTACCGATTCGTGGGAGTTGGAGCACAAGGCGAGGTTGCGTGCTCACTCGCGCGCTCTGCTCTGATTGGGGCTTGCCCCACCCATACTGTCGGCTGACACACTTCCAGACGGAGCCGCAGTTTCCCGTTTCCATCCCAACCGCCAGTAGACGGAAGCAGAGGGATGGATGGATAGATGTGTTGGACGGAGGAAACGCGGATGACAAGGCACGGACGGAATTGGCGTTCTCAGTTAGCAGTGACACCACTGACCACTCCAAAGGGTGCCGTCGGACGGAGTTATCTCTGTTCCAATTCCAGTCTGTCAGGGAGCAGACAGAAGCATTCTGTCAGAGAGTTCTCTAGGGAGGGCAACAACTGAATGCTCGTTATGGGCTCTAGGCTAGCCTGAATGCTCATAATCAGCAGGCTGGTTGTGTCTGTCTGTGCAGCCATTATCAGTGCTCAACGCTCGTTATCTTAGCCTTATATTGCGCTAGCGTGGCTCCATTGTCCTTGTTCGTTCACTTCAGACTCCTCTAGCTTTCGGTTGACGTGTCACTGAAGTCTCCCAATGGTAAATCTGCTCTTTCGTCACTCGACGTCGCCGTCTCAGGCGCGCTGTTCTTGTACTTAATATCTGTTGTGTTGTGGTAGGCTTCCTCGAAAGTGAGTCCGCTTCACCTCCTCCTGATTGCTCGTATTTTCGGCCTCGATTCTGCCTTTCATGAGGTAGGACAGATATAATACTGTTACGGAAGCCGGCTCACAATAATAGGGTAGGGTAATCCATCATAGATCGAATCTCTCTGTACATTAGAATCTAAATTTGGTTGTAGATTGTATCGGTCATGCCTCAATCAGCCGTGATTAGACGTCGAGTCAGCAACGAAGGCAACGCAGTGCGATCCACCCTTCAAGAACCGCTACTGTCATGCGACGACCGACACGACGACGATGACGACCGACGCGATCCGCCTGCGACGTCTACGACGTGTGCGAATCCCGCGAATGGTGTCGCCAGCCCAAATGCCGACGCGAAGGTGGGTCAGTCGTTGATGCTTTATAGAGCCATGAACGTGAAATTAGAAATAAGCAGTAGGACCATTAACATTCATGCTGATGTTATCATGTTTTTGTGCAGATGGGATACGGCATAATCATCAGTTTGGACTTCATAACATTTTCTTGACATCGTCTAATAGCCGTCGTCTATACCTCCTTTGTACCTTCCTCCACAAATGAACATCTTACATTACATCGTCGTTAGGCCGCCTCAGCTAGCGATTACACCCGCGTGTTCTCAGCCTTTCTGTCCAGCTCGTGTTTCCCTTAGTCGTGACGGACGTCCTTTTATCCATTCTCTCCGTTCTTTTGGAAGGACGTTCAGGTTGATTCGTCCTTTGGACAGAAATATATTTTTTTATCCGTTCCTCTCACGGACATTTTCATTATTCCGTGCAGTCGCCAGGATCTCCAAGGCCAGGGGAAGTCGGCTCGAGAGTGTGGCAGCACCTTCTCGGATCATTCGTCTTTCAATGGGCCGCATGGCTAGGTGGGTCTAGTATTATCATTCTCTTTTTCCCTTTTCTACTGCTTCAAAGAGTTTTGAAATGATACAAGCAATGTTGTTTATTTCTAAGGAGGTTGTACCCAAGATAAGATTGATCATTCTATCCCCCTTCTTCCCCTGACTCACTCCCTTACCCCACTACTCTTCCTCCATCTCTCCCTCCTCCCCTGCCACCAGGCCAGCTCATGGCGGGTGCGCGCACCAAAGTTCTTGCTCTGGGCGGCTCTTTTGCCTCCACGCTGCTGCTCCCCCCGCACGCGCGCGCACCCTCCCGCGGAGGCCCCCCGCAGCTGCGCGGGGGAGTTCCCGCCCTCCTCCCCATCACCCTCTCCGAACCCCAGGAGCGCTCCCTGAAGCAGCTACAAACGAGGATACAGCCGCCGTTTGAAAACGACAAGGAGGAGCATAGATTGGCGCTGGTAGAGCTGTGGGAGCAGGCGTATCCGGGGCGGGTGTTGACTGAGGAGGTGGAGGTGGCGGGGTGGAAGGAGATGGGGTGGCAGGGGAAGAATCCGGCCTCGGATTTCAGGGGCGGGGGATTTTTCGCGCTGGAGAATTTGGTGTACTATGCTCGCACGTACCCGGTGCGTTGGGGGAGGGAGGAGGGGAAGGGAGCGGGGAAAGGGAGGGGGGGAAGGGAGCGGGGAAAGGGAGTGGGGGAAGGGAGGGGGGGAAGGGAGGGGGAGAAGGGAGGAGGGGAAGGGAGGGGTAGGGTGAGAAGATGTTTTGGAGTTACGGAAAATAATTCTTAAACAAACGTAGTTTTCCTTGTTCTTTCTGTGTGTGGCTGCTGAGGTGGTTCCAGCGCGTCATGCACAAGCAGGAGGATTCTGAAATGTCTTGAGAAAAAAACTTTCTCTACACGTGTTTTCTGCTTGCCCTTACTGTGCCTGACTGCAGAGGTCGTTTCAGCGCATCATGCACAAGCAGGAGGGTCGCCGGGTTGAGTGGGAGTACCCGTTTGGAGCAGCAGGGGTGAACATCACCGTACTCCTTATAAGCATTCTCGACTTGCGCAAGGGTGAGCGTCGGAGTCTGGAAAGAATGCCAGTTCTCCCTCCCTGTCCAAGAAGACAGACAATCTCATCCCTCCCTTGCACCCCTCCCATCCTCCAATCCCTCACATCCTTCACATTTGTGAATATCCTCTGTGTGACGTTTGATGTGCTGGATGGGCGATTCTCATCTTTGTTCCCCTTCCCCTTGTATGTGCTCCTCCTTCCAATCTCTTTTCAGGTATCCCTGCAACAGACCTTTCTGAACAGTTTATCAGAGCACCTGTCGGCGTCAGGTGCTGAACGGGTCGTTCTCCTCCCAATCTCTGTTTCCCTTTCCCTTGTACATTCTCTCCTCTCTCATTGTTTCTCCAGACATCCCCGCAACAGTAGCTGGACGGGCCTTCCTGAAGATGCTACCAGAGCACCCAACAGCGTTTGAGGACCTCTACTGTGTGACGTTTGAGATGCTGGACGCTAACTGGCTGGAGCTCAAGGCGTCGTACATGGAATTCAATGTGAGTCAATGGAAGTCAACCACAGTTTGTTTTCAATGTGAGTCAATGGAAGTCAACCACAGTTTTGTTTTAATTTGAGTCAACCACATATACATGCACGTGCACACGAACATGCACTGCCCTTGTGTTCATCTCTACTGTGTTACGTTTGAGTTGCTGGACGCTAACTGGCTGGAGCTCAAGGCGTCGTACATGGAGTTGAATGTGAGTCATGCAAGTCAATGTGAGTCATGCAAGTCAATGTGAGTCATGCAAGTCAATGTGAGTCATGCAAGTCAATATGAGTCATGCAAGTCAATATGAGTCATGCAAGTCAATATGAGTCATGCAAGTCAATTTGAGTCATGCAAGTCAATTTGAGTCTTGCAAGTCAATTTGAGTCATGCAAGTCAATGTGAGTCATGCAAGTCAATATGAGTCATGCAAGTCAATTTGAGTCATGCAAGTCAATGTGAGTCATGCAAATCAATTTGAGTCATGCAAGTCAATTTGGAATACGAATCAACTGGATTGAGTGTCTCCCAATCATTGTTTGCATTCCCTCCCCACTGTCCTTTCTCACTCATCGCCACCCAGGTGTTCATGCAAGCCACACGAGCAGAGCTGGAGCGACATATGTGCCAGCCCAGCTTCTGTTCTCACTCTCTCCGCCCATCCCCCCCCTTTGCTCGCCACCCCCTCCCCCTCACTCAGGTGGTCATGCAAGCCACACGAGCAGAGCTGGAACGCCATATGTGCCAGCCCAGCTTCACTACCATCTCTGACCTTCCCGCCTTCGCCAGACTCACAGCAGAGTAGCCCACCCATCCACCCACCCACCCAGGCATACACATGCATGCATGCACACTCCTTTCAACCAGCCTTCCCTTCACCAGCCCAGCTTCACTGCCATCTCTGACCTTCCCGCCTTCGCCAGACTCACAGCAGAACAGCCCACCCGTCAAGCCGCCCACCCGAACACAAACATGCATGCATGCACACTCCTTCCTACCAACCTCTCCTTTCGCCAGCCCAGCTTCACTGCCATCTCTGACCTTCCCCACCTTCACCGCATTCACAGCAGAGTAGCCTGCCTTGCCTGCGCACATGCATTGCATGCCCCATAGTGGGGAATAAAAGCCTTGGCTCACACTGTAGTTGTGTTGGCTCACCCTAGTTTTATTTTTGTTAATCATGTAGTTGAATCATTCGTATTTTGATATGGTGTAAGGCAGGTCGATTTGTTTGTGAATGCTTTGGTGTAGCTCGTATATTATCGAGTGTCTGCTTGCTCTGATTGTTTGTTTGAATAGTGCATAATGGAAGCAGGCCAGTTTCAAATCACTACACCCTTCCTGGTCATGAACTCTCTACAGTATTATCCATACAGGCCCAACATTGCTAGTAAACAAATTTGTACACATGATCAGTTCATCCATATTTGTTGAGATCATGGAAAACATAAGTCATATGCACATTTCACAGCGTGACACAGAGGGACAGGCAAGGGAAGCACCCTAAGAAACACATGAGTGCTCCTGCACACCACTACCATCAATCGAACCATCACCTCACCGCACCATCACCGTTGGCATCCTTTATCGAAGAGCAGGAAGACAGTATCGGGTGGAGAGAGACTGGCAGAGGGGCTTGGGAAGATGGAGGAAGGAGGAGGGGGAATGGGGGAAGGGGAAGAAGGAAAGGGAGAAAGTCCGGAAGCGGATAGTACTGGGGCAGGAAACGGGGGAGAAATTGGGAAAGGGAGGGGGCTAGGGAGGGGAGGGAAAAGCGGTAAGGGAGACTTTCTTACACAATAGGGTAAGACCCGCATGAGTCTACCCAGATCTGCACCGACCAGCACCAATGCCCCTTCCCCACCACCTCCTCTTCTCCTCTCCCATCACCTCCCCAACCTCCTCTATTGCCACAGCTATCCCCATGAGCAATGGGGGGAGTATGCCTTGCTATAATACACACCAAAGGGAGGGGTATATCCCTGTACACCCCTCCACAACCCCCTTCCTCACTCTCCTCCTCCCACACCTCCCAAGCTACCTCTAGTCATCAAATATATCCTCATGATTAGTCACGGGGATCTGCCGCATCTTCTTGCATTCAGGAGGAGTCTCCCCGTGAAAGCTCTCCCAGAGGGCTGCCTTGCCATCCCACCCCACCGACACCAGGGCTGGCCGCATGCCCCCTGTCCCTGCACCGTCGCCAGCGCCCCCTCCCTTACACTGCCGCACTTCATGCCCCCTTCTCCTGCAATACTGCACCGCCAGCACCCCCTCTCTCCAACCCCCCTCTACTCGTCAAATATATCCTCATGATTAGTCACGGGGATCTGTCGCATCTTCTTGCATTCAGGAAGGGTCTCCCCGTGAAAGCTCTCCCACACAGCCACTTTGCCGTCAAACGCCACCAACGCCAGTGACCCCATCTCCCCTCTACTCGTCAAATAAGTCCTCATGATTAGTCACGGGAATCTGCCGCATCTTCTTGCATTCAGGCGGCGTCTCCCCGTGAAAGCTCTCCCACACAGCCACCTTGCCGTCCCACCCCACCGACGCTAGAGCCGGCCGTGTGGGGTGCCAGGAGCAGTCCCGGACAGTCGACCCGTGGTGCTTCAGCTTTGCCACTTGCTTTCCTGTCAACTGTAGATACAGCAGGGAGGGAGGAGAGGAAGGGTGCAAAGAGGTAGAGGTGCAAAGAGTTATATCAAGAGCTGGCCGAATGGGGTGCCAGCAGCAGTCCCGGACAGTCAACCCGTGGTGCTTCAGCTTTGCCACTTGCTTGCCTGTCAGTAGGCAGAGGGGAGGGGAAGCGCATAACCCCATGGCAGCTGACTGACACCCATTCTCTCATGTCTCGCATAATGCATGTCACTCACTCTCTCTACCACATACCAGGTCGAATATGTAGACAGCCCCATCGTGTGTGGTAAGTCGATTTTATAGGCACCGCAAGGGTCGACATTACCACATACCAGGTCAAATATGTGGACGGCCCCACCGTGCAGGTACATACTGTTATCCTTAGGTGACTTTTGAGTCGACTCAAAAGGCCCCACTGTGCAGGTACATACTGTTATCCTTGGAACAGAAGACGGATTTTCTACCTCTCTCTCTATAACCCATTCACTCACTCTCTACCACATACCAGGTCAAAGATATACACAGCGCCGTCGTGTGAGAGAGGTGTGATAATGTGAGACACACCCCCGATGCGTTGCACTCACCAGGTCAAAGATATACACAGCACCGTCGTGCGACCCAGAGTAGACAAATCGCTGGGCCGTGGAGTGCAGAGGGGAGAAGTAGCAGCGGATGAGCGTCTGCAGCACGTGGTGGTTGCGGTACGTCATGAGTGACTGGTCGCTGGGGTGTGCGACCCTCATGCCCCTGCCCGGGTAGTCCATCCAACGATAGTCCCACTGGAAGAAGGGGATTCGCGGAGGGGGGAGACTGCAGAGAGAGAGGAGGGGGGAGAGGCGGAAAACAGTAACAGAGACAGAGGCAGAGGCAGAGGCAGAGACACAAACAAACAGAAGGAGGGGAGCAGCGGATGAGCGTGTGCAGCACGTGGTGGTTGCGGTAAGTCATGAGTGACTGGTCGCTGGGGTGTGCGACCCTCATTCCCCTCCCGGGGTAGTCCATCCAGCGATAGTCCCACTGGAAGAAGGGGATTCGCGGAGGGGGGAGACTGGCAGGGGGAGGGGGAGGGAGGTAGGCAGAGACAGGGACATAGACAAGGAGAGAGAGTGACAGAGAAAGGAAAAGGACCGTTCAAAAGAGGGAGACAAAGAAAGAGAGAGAGGGCGATGAGAAACAGTTAGAGGATGTCCCACAACAACTTCATCGTCTGGTCCTTGCTGTTGGTGCCTCTGATTTATCGCTCTCTCACACGCATGCTCACATGTACTAGTTATTAACATATAGACTCGTTAGAAACATATAGACATTATAAACTCACTCTTGACTCGGATGTCCCACAGCTTCATCGTCTGATCCTTGCCATTGGTGACACTGGTTGAACACTCACACACACACATGCTAACACGTACTCGTTATAAACTCACTCTTCATAAGCAGCATGGTCCATCATGACTCGGATGTCCCACAGCTTCATCGTCTGATCCTTGCCGTTGGTAAGAAAGCATCTAGCGTCCCCTTTAGAAGCCAGATGCGTTATACCCTCTGTGTGCCCCACCAGCACCCCCACCGGCTTGTTCCGACACCCCACTCCCTGCCTCTCCCCCCCACCACCACTGCCACCACCACCACTAGCACCACCAGCAGCACCAGCACCAGCGCCAGCACCAGCAGCACCAGCAGCAGCAGAACTAGCAGCGCTAGCAGCACCGCCAGCAGAGTGACTGAAGGGAGGAGGTCCAACAGGGTCGAGCAGTCGCAACGGGTCGATGGGCTCGGTGTTGTCAAGCAGGCGGCGGTCCCACACCTTGCAGATGCGATCGTCACTGCCCGAGTAGATGAGCTGCGAGGTCTCGTCCGCGAATGCCACTGCGTTCACATCGTCCTGAAGTGAGAAGGGACGGGGGATTGAAGGGGTTCCACTGAGGTCAAAGGCAGTCAATGCGGTCAGGTGCGGTCAGGTGTGTGGTCCATCGGGCTCCCAACGGGGTCGAGCAAGCGCAGGGGCCCGATGGGCTCGGTGTTGTCTAACAACCGTCGGTCCCACACCGTACAGATGCGATCGTCACTGCCCGAGTAGATGAGTTGGGAGGTCTCGTCTGCAAAAGCCACAGCATTCACATCGTCCTGGAGAAGCGGAGTAGGGAGGAGGAGGGAGAAGGGAGGATGGAGGATGGACCAGTGCACAGGTCGAAGACGTAGAGCGACCGACCGCTGCTGCTACCCGCAAGCAGTGAGGCAGGCACTTGGATTTACCTGAAACCAGAAGCCTAAAAGGTGTCTCCCTAGCCTAAAAGGTGTCTCCCTAGCCTAAAAGGTGTCTCCCTAGCCTAAAAGGTGTCTCCCTAGCCTAAAAGGTGTCTCCCTAGCCTAAAGGTGTCTCCCTAGCCTAAAAGGTGTCTCCCTAGCCTAAAGGTGTCTCCCTAGCCTAAAAGGTGTCTCCCTAGCCTAAAGGTGTCTCCCTAGCCTAAAAGGTGTCTCCCTAGCCTAAAAAGTGTCTCCCTAGCCTAAAGGTGTCTCCCTAGCCTAAAAGGTGTCTCCCTAGCCTAAAAGGTGTCTCCCTAGCCTAAAAGGTGTCTCCCTAGCCTAAAGGTGTCTCCCTAGCCTAAAAGGTGTCTCCCTAGCCTAAAAGGTGTCTCCCTAGCCTAAAGGTGTCTCCCTAGCCTACCTGGTGTGCCCCTAGCCTACCTGGTGTGCCCCTAGCCTACCTGGTGTGCCCCTAGCCTACCTGGTGTGCCCCTAGCCTACCTGGTGTGCCCCTAGCCTACCTGGTGTGCCCCTAGCCTACCTGGTGTGCCCCTAGCCTACCTGGTGTGCCCCTAGCCTACCTGGTGCGCCCCTAGCCTACCTGGTGTGCCCCTAGCCTACCTGGTGTGCCCCTAGCCTACCTGGTGTGCCCCTAGCCTACCTGGTGCGCCCCTAGCCTACCTGGTGCGCCCCTAGCCTACCTGGTGTGCCCCTAGCCTACCTGGTGTGCCCCTAGCCTACCTGGTGCGCCCCTAGCCTACCTGGTGTGCCCCTAGCCTACCTGGTGTGCCCCTAGCCTACCTGGTGCGCCCCTAGCCTACCTGGTGCGCCCCTAGCCTACCTGGTGCGCCCCTAGCCTACCTGGTGTGCCCCTAGCCTACCTGGTGCGCCCCTAGCCTACCTGGTGCGCCCCTAGCCTACCAGGTGCGCCCCTAGCCTACCTGGTGTGCCCCTAGCCTACCTGGTGTGCCCCTAGCCTACCTGGTGTGCCCCTAGCCTACCTGGTGCGCCCCTAGCCTACCTGGTGTGCCCCTAGCCTACCTGGTGCGCCCCTAGCCTACCTGGTGCGCCCCTAGCCTACCTGGTGTGCCCCTAGCCTACCTGGTGCGCCCCTAGCCTACCTGGTGCGCCCCTAGCCTACCAGGTGCGCCCCTAGCCTACCTGGTGTGCCCCTAGCCTACCTGGTGTGCCCCTAGCCTACCTGGTGCGCCCCTAGCCTACCTGGTGTGCCCCTAGCCTACCTGGTGTGCCCCTAGCCTACCTGGTGTGCCCCTAGCCTACCTGGTGTGCCCCTAGCCTACCTGGTGTGCCTTCACTCGGAGAATCGGCTGATTCCTCTCCCAATCGAAGACGTAGAGCGAGCAATCGCTGCTGCCCATGACGAGCTGATCAGCAAGCATGACCCCACCAGGTGCGCCCCTAGCCTACCAGGTGCGCCCCTAGCCTACCAGGTGCGCCCCTAGCCTACCAGGTGCGCCCCTAGCCTACCAGGTGCGCTTTGACTCGAAGGATGGGTTGGTTTCTCTCCGGTTCAAAGACGTAGAGCGAGCGATCGCTGCTGCTGCTGCCCGTAACGCTATGACATGGATTTACCTAAAAGCTTAAGCCTACCTGATGGGCCTTCACTCGAAGAATGGGCTGGTTTCTCTCCAGATCAAAGACATAGAGCGAGCGATCGCTGCTGCCGGCGATGAGCTCCCGACCGTCGGATGAGAATTGGAGGGACCAGATGCCAAAGCTGCGCTCCCTGCGTCTCGATTCCACTGCTGTGAAATTTAGCTCCTCGTGAATGTCCTGATGGCGAAGGGGGAGGAGATGAGGGGAGGGGTGAGAACGGGAGGGGAAGGGGTTGGGGATGAGTGTGCAGTCGACTCAAAAGCTGCGCTCCCGGTGTTGCGCTCCTCATGTATGCCGTGATGGCGGAGTGAGGAAAGGGGTGGAGATGAGAATTGGGGCAACCAGATGTCAAAACCATGGAAAGGGGTGGAAAGCGCTCTCTGCATCTCAACTCAACTCCACATTCGACTCCTCGTGCAGTGCATGGCAAGAAGTTGAATCTCATGACGGAAAGATATCGAGCTGACTTTTGAGTCGACTCAAAAGATATCAACAAATACAACAAGCGAAAGAAAGCATGTGGAAGGAACATGTAAAAAACGGATGAAACAAACAAACACAAAACATGGCTTTATTATTATCAAGAATGGAGGTTTCTTATGGACACATTTTCTCCGACCGTGGCTGACTCACCGTGACATTAGCAAGCGACTCAACCTCCCCGCTCCCATAGCCGACGTTCACCAGATGCACGATGGGCGTGATGGATGCATACACCTGTAAAGGGGACACGCAGAGAGGAACGAGAGAGAGGAAGAAGAGAGAGAAGAAGCGGAGTGAAGAGGAGAGAAGAGGGACGGAGCGAAAAGAGGAGGAGAGAGGGGAAGTGGAGAGAAGGGAAGTGGAGAGAAGGGAAGTGGAGAGAAGGGAAGTGGAGAGAAGGGAAGTGGAGAGAAGAGAGGTGAGAACCAGGGTAGGCGTGGTTTAAGCACTCAAGCCATGCATGCAGGGATGGAGAGGTAAGGGTTACCAACCCAAGCTATTCAGCGATTTCTGTAGCCAAGGGTTACGAGGAATAGCCGTTTGGGAGATAGAGCTGTGTCGGTGATGGTCCAACCGTCATGTTTAACATGCGGTAACCAAGTTAACACAAAATACGCACCAGGAATTGTTGGTCAGGAGAGATTGCAGTGTCGGTGACGGCCCATCGCAGGTTGAACGCAATCACATCCTTGTTAGCCAATGGTATCCTATCAGCAGCGCGGCAAATGGTGCCAGTAAGGCAAAGGCTTACCAGGAATCGTTGGTCAGGAGAGAGTGCAGTGTCGGTGATGGTCCATCGCAGGTTGCGAGCAATCACATCCTTCCTTAACGCCCACCCTCGATCCACATCGTACACGCGAATCCGACGGTCCTGATCGTGCGCATGATAATTGGGTTCGGGCGCGAGAGAAGGGGAAGCAACGGGGGCAATGGATAACTGAGGGGCGGTAGTAGTGGTAAGGAGAAAGGAGGTACTCAAATAAGAAATCGGTTCAGAAAATGATGACCTTTGTGACGTCTCAGGAGTGGAAGGAAGAATGAGGTATCGACATTGTCCACCACCAACAAGAACTCGGTTCAACTCGTGATGGCGATGCCACATTGTCCACCCCCATGGGGCCGTCTCGACTCGCACCACGTGCCGTCTATTACCACGTGGCACATTGTAACATAACATTCAGCAAACGCTTCTCCCCCACTCACCTGAAAGCCAGCCACGAACAGATCCCTGTCGCCGCTGAACTGGCCTATATACGCGCGTGATGCCACCTTGTCCACCACCATGGGACCCAGAAGGCCATGCTGTGGATGGCCATCACATAAGCACACCCATAGGCAGCTCACATCACACACATGAACTCCCCATCACCCACCTGGAAACCAGCCACGAACAGGTCTCCATCCCCGCTGAACTGGCCAATATAAGCACGAGACGCCACCTTGTCCACCACCATGGGGCCGTCACATGGCAGGAAGGACTGCGCCAGGTGACACCGGTCCGACTCAGAGAAGCGCCCGAATTTCTACGATTGGTGTATGGACCGGGACGGGATGGGATGGGGTGAGGTGAGTTGGGGAAAGAAGGGTCTCTCTCTGAGGATGGCCTTCGCTATGGGGCCATCGCACGGGGAGAGGACTGCGCCAGGTGGCACCTGACTGACTCTGAAAACCGACCGAATTTCTGTGATTGGTCAGTAGGGAAGGAAGGGATGGGGTGTGTTAGGGCTACACGAGTCAGCACGGGGGACCTCACAAAGGACTCATTCACAACACATGCATGCATGTTGCGGCGAGCGAAAGGGGGGGGGCATGTGGAAGGCACCAAGAGGGAGAAACGTGAATACAGAGTTGAATGAGGGCTTTCTTACGTTTCTGAAATCAGCGTTGATTCAGATGGAACGCACCGACAGGAAGAAAGTTGAATCCAGAGTTCAATCGAATCAAATAAGATCAGATCAAACGCACCGACACGTTCACTTCTCGCGACAGCAGCATCTGGTGCACGTTCACTGTGTCACACCGCTCTGCACCCCTCTTCTCCCCCTTCCCCTTCCGCTTCTCCCCCTTCGCCTCCCCTTCCCCCCCTCTCCCCCTCCCCCTCCCCCGTCCCTCCAAAATTCCACAGTGCACCCATCTCTGCCTGTTTCCGCGCTTCCTCCGGTCCGCTCCCCCCGCTCCCCCCGCATCCCCCGCATCCCCCACTCCCCCCATTCCGCCGTTTCCTGCAGAGCGCGGAGGTCTTGCCATGCGCGGAAGACCATACGCGCGTCGCATGCGCCACGGGATGCGCCCTGAACGCGCGCGCAGCCTCCTTCCGACTCACCCACCCCTTCCGCTTGCCCCTGCTCCCCCTCCCCCGCGCGCCCCCTTCCCTCGCCTCCGCCTCCGCCTCCCCTTCGTCGCTCATCCCTGTCCGCGCGCCGAACGTGAACCAAAACTCGCTCCCCCTGCCCGCCTGGTTGCCGTACGCGTTACCATCATCCTCGCTACTGTCATCCTCGCTATTGTCGTTCTCGTCACTGCTCTCTCCGCTACTGCTGCTCTCCCCTTTGTCCTCCCCTTCTCCCTCCTCCCCATCCGAATCATCACTGTCGTCACTGCTAGAATCCTCGCTAGTATCACCACTCTCCTCTTTATCCTCGTCCTCACTATTATCACACTCGTTTTCCGTGTCGCCATCCCCCCCTGCGGTCTCATCATCCCCACCCGCCCCTATTGCCGCTAAAATAGCCTGAAAGCCCCCCCCGCTGTCCCCCCCGCTTCCCCCTACTCCGCCTTCCCCGCTTCCCTCCGCCGTCCCCCCCGCGCGGGTGTGGTCCGCGCCTTCTCTTCCGCCAGCGCCTGCGCCGCCGCTGCTGTTTCCGCCACCGCTTCCCCTTCCGCCAGCCTGCGCGTCTCCCCCTGCGCGTTCCCCTGCCGCCTGGAGTCTCCGCTGCGCCAGTCTCTGCGCAAAGCGCGACGCCCTTCCGACGAGGTCGTCTAGCGCCGCCGGCTCTTCCGCGCCTCCGCCCTCCGACTCTTCCGCCTCCGCTCCGCCACCCGCTCCGCCCACCGGTGTTTCCCCCGACCCTGCGGTGTCATCTTCAGCCGACGGTTCCCCCACCGCCGCGGCTGTAACCAAAAATCCCCTCGCCGCGGAAAAATCCCCCCTCCCCGCAAGGGATTCCCGCCTTTCTGCGGAACTCCGCGCTCCCGCGCAGCCTTCCGCCCGTTGCTCCGCGCTAAGCTCCGCAATACAGGGCTGCGAGGAATACTCGAGGTTCAAATCCAGCCGCGCGGAGCGGTTACCGGCTGAGTCATCACCTCGACTGCAAGGACCGGATTCCGGCATGATCAGCAACTGTCGCGACGACGTTACACTATTTCGTCGGCTTGCGAATGCGAATGCGAACTCGGCGACTGGTCACAGGGATGAAACAAAGCGGGGATGTGGCAAGGCGGGGTGCACACGCAAGCAAGAACCGTGTGCGGCAACCGAGGTGACTACTGAGTCGACTCAGGAGTTACTGATGTAACAAGGCGGAGGTCATGAGCGACATAGCGTGCTCGCCAAACTCCGCGTGGCGACTGTGACTACACGAGCAGGAATGTGCCACGTGTCTGAACGGCCGTTTCCTTGCACCGTTTCTTCACAGGTTCACAGCAGTAGGAAACCAACCTTAGTCACCAGACATCGAAGAAAGGCCGTAACACGAGGATTCCGAATCTCACTTCGGAACAATGGCGTAGAAACCACGCTCAGCTTAGCACACCTACTAATATCTCTTGAAAAAGAACGGGACGGCGGGCGCGGTGATGGCGGGCGGGGTGATGGCGGGCGGGATGATGGCGAGCGGGGTGATGGCGGGCGGGTGGACTAGACAGGTGGAGTATGGCGGTTTCTTGCTTGATCTGATGGTTCGCCCCTCCTCCCCCTTCCCTTAATTGCAGGCGTGGCGAGGCGACAATTGTTACTCCATGCATGCATGCCTGCTGTAACACCAGGCTGCTACAAGCAAAGCGACTCTTTGCCAGGGCGCGGCACATTCTGTTCAAGAGTGGTTCTTCAGCCGGTTTTACAGCTTTGTTTGCGGTTCTGTAAGTTACGATCTGGTGTACACATGATGCCCAGCCAGTGCACGCAAGTTTGCCCTGTACCAGATGGAAACGCTGCTCCCGAGGTCTTTTTCCTAGCCTGATGCACCCACGATACAAGCGCGTCGCGTGGTTATGGACGAATAATAACGAACAGACTGAAGTCAAACTGAAGAGACCGAAGTCAAATTGTCAACGAATAAGGTTACAGATCCTTAATATAAGCACCTGCGAATCCTTTTTAGATAGCTGCGAACTGACGAAACTTATGCGAAACTCTTGATACAGCTTATACGCCCCCTTCACAAGGCAACCGGGAGGGGCTCAAACAGGCATCAATTGTACTATGTTAGGGGTCTGAGAAAATAGTGATGTCTCCGAGCCATGCCTAGCGTTCGAAACCATCCGCCGCTTGGGCGACTGTTTCGCGACAAAGAACGCACTTCGTGGAAAAATCTGGGGAATCTTTAGTGACTATTCGCTACAGTTCCATAATTGGCGCCCTGAATTCTAATACCATTTATAACGGCTCAGTGCTCAATTAAAATAAAAAACACAGTTTAGGAACCTTATGTATACTTCATAGAAACCATTGAGATTAAATGTACGTGTACAGCTGACATGCTGCTACAGCTCCCATTAAGAACAGAAAGACTTCCTAAGCTAAATCAAATTGAAATCAAACAAAACCTTCCTGGGTCACATCACAACTGATCACAGTCCGAACCGAACCACAACCCTCTACCTCTTCTTGCTCTTCTGCTGCTGCTTACCGCCACGCCCACGCCCCCGCCCCTTCCCCTTGCTCTTCGCCTCCTTAACCGGAACCGGCCCCTCCCTAAACGGGACTCCAAGCAACTCCAACAGCCTCTGCGCCTCCCCGTCAGTCTTAGCGGTGGTGACAATGGAAATGTCCATCCCACGGGTCTTGTCAATCTCGTCGAATCGAATTTCCGGGTACAGGGTCTGCTCGGCCAGGCCCATGGAATAGTTGCCCCGGCCGTCGAAACCGCCGCGGGAGACGCCGCGGAAATCGCGCATACGGGGAAGAGCGAGGTTGATGAGACGATCGAGATAGGCGTACATGATCTGAGAGGGAGGGGTATGGAGGGGGGAGGGGAGGGGGAGAGGGAGAGGGAGGGAGATGGAAAATGCAAGGAGAGCAGTGAGATGCAGAGGTGGTTACAGAGGTGATATGAAAGTCACGCATGCGGGGGAGAGTGAGGTTGAAGTGATATGCGTACATAGTCTGAGGGAGAGAGGGAGAAAGGTGGGGGTGGGGCCAATGGAAGGGGGAGAATGCAAGAAGAGCAGACTGCAGTTTCTGAAAAGAGTGCGAGTGCAAAACTGGTTTTGAGGAGACGTGGCAGTTGCGCATGGGGTTTGGGGGCAAGGTTGATAAGGCGGTCCAGATAGGTGTACATGATTTGAGAGAATTTGAAGGAGATGGGGGTGTGGGGCAAAAAGGGGTGACTGTCAAGGTTGATGAGGTTTAATCCCAGATCATCTAGATGTTTACTATCGATAGAAACTGTTACGACGTTTTTTTCTTGTTTGCATGACTCAGTAATGCCGTACCGTATGGGATAGGGGGAGGTGGGGGCGGGGGGGGAGGAGGGGGTGGGATGGGGGACGCGGGAAGGGGAGGGAGAAGAGGGGCCACCTGGATTTTCATCACGCAGTTTCCCCTGTAGTTGCTTCCCTCCCATCGCCACTTTAGTCACTCCATCTTTCACCAATATCACACTCAACCTGTTTCCTCCCTCCTGCCATCCTCTCCCTTCCGTTTCCTTTCTCCCTCCCTTCCACCACTTCCTCTTCCCTCCCCCGCCTTCACTCTTCCTCACCACTTAATGAATCGGCCCCTTCGCCCTCCCATCCGTCTCTCCACCTCCATTCTATCACAAGCATATCCGCCATCCCCATGAGCATGCTCGCACGCCCACAACGGCCTTCCGCGCGCGCGCGTCCCCCGCAATTAATCCCAGTCCCCCGCCGTTACCCCTTTCCCCCGCGCCCTACCTGTCCGCGGAGCGTGGTCGCCATCCCCACGGGCACGCCCGCGCGCAGCTTGAACCCCGCAATAGCCTTCCGCGCGCGCGTCACGACGGGCCGCTGCCCCGTCACCGCCGCCAGGTCCTTGGCCGCGCTGTCAAGGGTCTGCGCGGGGAAAGAGGAAGAGGGTGGGAGCGGGGGAAGGGGGAGGAGCGGAGTGGGAGGGGGGAGGGGGAGAGGGGGAGGGGGGGGGAGGGGGAGGGGGGGGGAGGGGGGGGGGGGGGGGGATGGGGGGGGGGGATGGGGGGGAACTCGACCCACGCTTCCCGGCGCTGTGCTTGCGACGCTAGCTGAGTTCTGGCTGGCAGCGAGGAAGGCTGCCGCTGGCACGAGCGGGTGGGGGCGGGCAAATTCATCTCAAGCGTCCGTTGCGTCGACTCAAGAGTCATCTAGTTTTGAGTCGCTGCCTCGTTCAAGGCTGCGCGACCGGCGGGGTAGTTTCCCATGAACGACGGCTTTTGAGGCGCCTCAAAAATCGACGGGCGGGGCAGTTTCCTAGATGCCCATGGGCAACAGACAGCTTCAGCTGTACTGGAATCACTTTCGAGAATTCTCAAAAGTGATTCTCGATTCGAGTCGCTGGCTCGTTCGAGGCTGCGCGACCGGCGGGGTCGTTTCCCATGAGGAACGGAAGGTTCAGCTGTAGCCCTATCGTGTCTCAGGCGAGTCGCGAGTCGGATGTCCCATAGCCCTGACGAACATGACGAAGATGACGAAGATGATTCGAACGACATTCTACTCTCCATCTCCCATCGCCGACAACGATAGCAGCTGCAGCGGCTTCTGACGACGACGACGACTAATCAGCAACACACCAGTTGGCCTGACCGTTATTCGTTCTCGTTCCGTTAGGTCCTACAAGATTACCTTTGCAATCGAGTCTAGGTGATCCCTCTGCTTCGCCTTCTCCCTTGCTCTACCTGCGTTCCCGCCCTACTCTGCCGTATCCACGAAAGACGCCTCCTGAGCTACGAAGTGGCTGAGCTTGTGACTTTGATGCGACGCATACATTGGAAATCGTGGTCTCGGCAACCTCTGTTGTGCGACGCCTGTACGACTACTGCGATGGCGCGATGCGACGCTGCACTGTGTCTTAACGACCCCATGCGATTCCAACCAAAAGCTGCAACAGACACCACACCCCGCCTCGTCCGCGCTAGCTTCACGAACCTGAGCATAACTCGGCCTAAACAACCCATTAAAACCAAATGCGCAACCACTTTTACACGCAATGCCAGTCATTTCTGGTCTGGGAGCCTCAAAATTGAATTCGCAATAGCGCTATCCCTCTATCCCCAGGAACTACAGTCTTCGGGTCTCTAGACGGTGTATGACTAATTAAGAGCGCCGCGCCTTAGTACAACGCACGTTCGACTCGCGACGCACATTCATGCTCTGCGACGCACCTTAGCGCTCTGCGACGCGTCGCCAATGCCGCAGTTGACCACCACCTTCTCGACACGTGGCACCTCCTGGGGGTTCGCATAACCGAACTCTGCGAGCATAGCGGGAACCACGGCGGTCTCATAGTACGTCTTAAGACGCGCCTTATCTGCTGTCCCCAGCTTCCACGCGGGGTCCGATCCGGACAAAAGCCCGGTCGGCCGCGACGACTCCGCAGCAGGCGCCGCGACATCCGCTACGGCCTGCGCCGACACCACCGGGAACGACGGGCCGCATTTCGCGGAGAGAGCGACTGGCCGGCAGGCTACGAGAGCGGGAGAGGAGACGAAGGAGGAGCGGGACATGGAGAGGGAGGAGGAGGTGGTAAGTGAGAGCTTCTCAAAGGAGAGAGCTGCTCCCGACACGGAAGCCATAGCGTGGGCCATAGTATCGTTTAAATCCAAGGAGCGACGCAAAGCGAGAGGCTAAGCGGGAACACGGACGCCTGTGCAGTGCCTCCTACTCTCCCTACGCCGGACGGAACCAAGGCAATGATGCAGAGCCTAGGTGTAAAAAGAAGGGCTTTGCGAAACCCTAGAAAGCATGTGAGAGGGAGAAATTGCTTCCGTAAGGGGAGTGAGTGAGTGGAAGAAACGGGGTGGTGGGCTTGGGAAGTTAGTCTGGGGGGAAGGATTGGTTGAGAGGTAATGAGGATTCCTTTACGCGAATTATTGCGAGAAACGACGAGAACTGGTAAAGCTTGGAAAACAGTTACAGGGCTCGCTGGTCGCATCTGTACCATTCACTGATGATCACGAACATTCGCGTAACATTATGTTACGGTGGTGGCTGACAACGAATAGGGGCAATGCTGGCAGAACGCTGAACTAACAGGATGTGGATTGAGCACGACATACCAGCTATTGCCACGTCAGCGCCCTTGAGAATCGTGGACACAACATCACCTAAACCAGACCTACTTCGATAAGCAGAGACCCGTTACATCAAACACACAAGCAATAATGCACAAAGTCTCACAAACTCTGATGTCACAGATTTTGATCGTCTTGCCTGGTACTATTAAAACAAAAGGAAATATATTGGTTCATCCGGTTGTCCTCGGGTAAAAAACAAACTTCAAATGCTGTCAGTTAACTAGCCAACCCAAGCGTAGCCTGCTTCACACTTGCTTGTGGCACATTCATCTTCAGCTACAATGATAACCATTGCACGTGGCTGTCATCTCATCAAGAACGAACAAACTAGGCGAACCTCCTAAATGGCTTCCTTGGACGTGGAAGCAACAGAGCTTACAGGTGCCAGACCTCCCTGACTGCTGGCAATTCAAAAAGAGCGTCTGAGAAGTTGGCTAGCAGAGCATTGACGGTCAGCAGGACGACAGCGGAGGAAACGATGACGACAACCACCACACCAGTCGTTCCTAAGACCGACGTGAAAGCCGGCCATTGAATCATCTGCGTCTCTTCCATCACGCCACGCCAAAATCCGCCGATTCCTTCATCAGCTTTCGCCGCTGTTTCCGCTGCCGCGCGTTCCTGCCTAAGGCGAGCTAGCTCCGCGCCAATGTCGTCCAACTGACCCGTGGATTTTTCCTTGGTCGCTGCTTCCGCGTCGCTATCGTCAGACCCTGAAAACTCGATCACTTTCCCCGGATCATTCTTCTCGTCGCGGTTGCGGTTCGGACCCCCGCTTAGAGCTCTCCTAACCGCGGAAGCTCCTCGCCTCGCATTAGGGTTTCGGCTTTGGAACGAGCAACGTGTGGAAAACGCAGAGCTGAAGGGACGGGACGCAGCGCGACCGACAGCGGCCCCAGTCTGAGGGAGGGGTCTGAAAGAGCTAACGAGCACCTCGCTCCCCACGGCTGTTAGAGAAGCCATGACCGTGTTTTGCATCAAAGATGCTCTAACTTGCGCGGAGTGGTGTAGCTACGCCAGCAGAGAAGGCGAGATTGTTCTAGTCAAAAGGCGCCTGAACTGGTTGGCGATGATTTCCTGCGATTCTGGGATGAACTAGCTGAGGGTACTTGTTACGGGTATACGTGTGCGAGTTTCGGATAATGCGTGCTTCTCTATGCCGCGGGTGTTCCAATAATGAAACAAATTGCAAATAACCACTATTTCAAAGCACGTTCACAGTAGAAAAGAACACTAGCTTCAGAAAAGAAACAATATAGCGCGAGCAAATGCTAAGCATCATGCATATTCGTCCATAAACTCGTCATTGAACTTCTTGAATTTGGCCATCATCTCTGGGATCTTCTCTTCACTAGGCAAAATGGTTGTGCGCAGATGGAAGGTCCTGAAAAGTGGGAAGATCAAACATAAACAACAGATGAGTAGGGGCTGGTATGGTTAGTAGACAATGGGGCGAAATGAAACACAATGGAGAGGCATGGAATCGCCTGATGCATACAGATTGGTTGCATGAACTTCTCTTCAGATGGACTATCCTATTCCACAACCTTGCCTATACCTGGACCTTATCCCAACATACGGTAGCACTCATGACCTCAATCTCCAGCAGCCATGAGCATCCTTCTAATGCTATTCACCAATCGCCTTAGCAGCCACAGCACATCCAACGCACCCCGCCCTTCCTTCCATGCAACACACTACCTTCGGCACATACACTCACCCTTCCTTCTGCCCGAAACCAGGTCCCGGCACAGCAGTGATGCCTGTGGCCACCAGCAGCTGCAGCCACAACGTGGCATCAAAGCACATTTCACATGACACCCCGTCTCAACATACACCACTCACCCTTCCTTCTGCCCGAAACCAGATCCCGGCACGGCAGTGATGCCTGTGACCTCCAGCAGCCGCAGGCAGTAGAACACATCCGCCGCCTTGCCTGCTGCCTTGGCGGCCTCCAGGGCCTTCTCAGGCAGGTTGATCCTGGGGAAGGAATACATGGCGCCTGGCAGGTGGGGTATGCGAGGATGGGAGAGAGAAGAGAGGCAATGGATTGTTAATGGACGCTGTGAACTTCAGGCCGCTGCCTCAGCGGCCTCCAGGGCCTTCTTGGGCAGGTTGATCCTGGGAAAGGGATACAGGGAAGTAATGAGGGGTGAGGCAATGGATCGTTGATGAGCAGTGTGAACTTCAAGCGCCCTGGCTGCAGCCTAAGTTCTCAGCTGGCAGCAGATATAAAAAGAAACGTCGGGCAGAACATATCTAGTAGCGTGGTGCGAGTCATTGCGGTGTCAGCCATCCCTGTCCCCCCCGCACCTTCTGTGAAGTTGCAGGTGACGTTCTTGCAGCTGTTGAATCCCTCTGTGACTGTGTGCGCTCGGCGACGCAGAGAGGCCAGGCGTGAGCTCCTGTTGACCCAAGCCCAACCCCAAACACCACCATACACACCACACGCAGCACATGTGACAAAAGGTAAAGGAAGAATTATGAGCAAGCGCATTGACATTGAATTCATGTTGCTGACACTATTCAAGGCAAATGCTTCTGTACCATGCTCACGTTGCACATCCCCCACCGTCCATGTGTTATAATCTCAGTGTAAATAGCTCGTTACATCTAGACTAATACCGTCCCAGCCCTCAAGCTAAGGAGCCTCATCTCTCAACTCTCTCTACTTTACCCCTCAGCTCCTCACCTCTCCTCTGTGAATTCCTCGTACGAAGCATCACCAGGAGCTGGGGGGTTCACCATGAGGCCCACCTGAAGACAATGCCGAAAAGGAGGAAGCAACAAAGCAAACAAAAATGAACTTTAGCTTCAGATCAGAGGCCGGGAGAATGCATAAGATATTGACTGCCATTGAACTGACCAGAAAGCGTCGGACTGACTGACCATGAGCTGGCCGCACAGGTTGGGGCAGAGGCTGATGGATGACATCTTGTAGAGCTCTTGGCACACCTGTTGTGGCGCGCGCACACACACACACGGGGATGTAAGTATGGAGTTGTGAGTATGTGGGGATTTGAATAGAAAGTAGCACAACTATAGAAGTAACTGAAGGCAAGAGAAACACGTTCAGGTCATCACACCGTCTTCTTTAGAAGTTTTAATGATGACAGAGATCTCCTCCCATACTCACGCCCTCATCGATGTTGAAGACCTCCATGTACCCGCCGCGCTGCCCGCACTCCCCAAACGTGCCCTTGGAGACAGTGTGGAAGGACACGAGCTCCAGTGAGGACGCGTACGGCTCGCCCATGCTCATCGCCACCTGGAGTGCGGGGGTGAAGGGGGACGAGGGGGGGTGGGAGTGGGCTCACGAATCGATACCTACACACTCCAACACTCGGATCCGCGTGAGTAGAGCAGGAGCTTCGGGGAGGACGGGACAAGAGGCCACGTCGTATCTACTACCTTCGCTTGAGGTGCCTCACAGCATGCGTTCAAATCCCCCTCCTCAGAATTGAGGAACGCCTCTCCCACTGGAACTCCGTTTCCAGTACACGTTTTCACCCTCCAAGACAGCACAAGCCTCTCCTGCCAACGCTCTAACCCGAAATTCACAGCACGTGCCACTTCAAACCCTCGTCGTACCTTCTTGGCGCTGAGGAAGGGGCGCTCGTCCTGGTACACGTTCTCCTGGTACACCTCGTCGGCCAGCAGCACGAGGCGCTCGTCGACGCAGAACTTGACGAGCTCCTTGAGGTTCTCCTCCGACAGGCAGTTGCCCGTGGGGTTGCCGGGGTTGATGAACACCAGGCACCGCACCTGCCCGCCGGGATGGGTGACGGGAAAGGGAGGGTGGGTACGAGGGGGAGGATAGAAGAAAGGGCTTTTGTGGAAGTGCGGAGGGAGGAGGGAAGAGGACATCCATGTCGCAGCGAATTTCCGTCCAGCCCACCACCCCTCCCCGACCAAACCACCTTCCCTCATCAGCCAAAACCCAAGCGTAATCCACCACAGACCCACACGCACCTCGGTGCCCTTCTGGCGCGCGTCCTCGCACGACTGCTTGAGCTCCGCCATGTCCAGCCCCCAGCCCTGGCTCTCGTCCAGGTAGTACGGCACCAGCGTGCCGCCCAGCAGCGCGATCGACGCGGAGTACAGCGGGTACTGCGGGATGGGGCACAGGATCTGGGGATGGGGGGAAGACGGCGGGCAGGGGGTGGGGGAAAGGGAGGCGGAAAACAGAAGGGCGTAGGAAGCGGTGCAGGGAGATGAGTGCGGGGAGATACTTAGAAGGGAGCATCGCGCGACCGAGAGCGTTGCGTCGAATGCGAATGAGCGCTGAGGAAAATGCGCCGGTTCTTTTGATACTCACCCCGTCCTTCTCGTTGCGGATGAGCACGTTGAGCATGCGCTCCACTCCCTTGCTGGCGCCGTCCGTGAGGTAGATCTTATCGGGGTCGCTGCACCCAGTTGGCATGTGGTCAGCAGGGAGAGAGGGGAGGGGACGAAGCGGAGGGAGACGAAGCAGTGGAGAGATGAGCGATGGAAGATGAGGAGAGGGACGAAACTGAAGGTAGTAAGAGAAGAAAGAAAGAAGATTGGCAGTTTCCCCATTTCGAACAAAGGAAAGCATGTTTTAAGCAACGCTCGTATTATAGACTCCAGATCTCTGTCAGCCTCCGTATTAGTCCCAGTCTCGTTTAGTGCCATTCTCAGTCTCGCTCCCCTTCCCTACAGCAGCGGAATGCACTCACGAGGGAAAGCCGTCCCGCTTGGCGATGAACTCCGCCACCTCCTTGCGGATGCCCGCCAGTCCGCGGGAGTCGCTGTACGCGCCTGAGAGGGGAGCCAGTAGGGGAAGGAAACGCGCAAAAACAGGGAAGGTGGAAATGTGGATATGTGGACATCCTCAAGATGGTGAGAAAAACACGAGATTTATGAAGTGGAGACGCTTCTCCTAATGTGAACAGAATCCTATTAACAGCTGTTGAGCAAATGGCAATGCCAGCAGATCTTGCATTGGACAAGCTTCTAGTAGCCTTCTTGGAACTTAATGGCCTGGCAAGTGATTATTTGAAGCGCTTCGGAACTTGACCGCGTTATCCAGACACGCATTCCGCCTTTCTGTTGGCCTCTCCAAACACTCTGCGTTTTTTACGCGTGTCGAAACTCGACTCACCGATTCCGCCTGTGGTGAAGGAGAGGTACTTCTTAGCGCGAGCAATGGCGTCCGCTGGAAAGAGCTTGGCGGTCTCGGGGTTTTCCATCAGGAAGGGCGCCTCCGCGAGAGCGAGGACCTTGGGGATGACGATGAGGAGAAAAGTCGCACATTTCAGGCGTTTAGAACTTGATAGAACCGACGACGGAAATTGATATTTCAAAGCTCCGTCGGAATGATGGTAGACAGAATGTAGGCATCTGTAATGACGAGAAGAGTTAAGGCCGAACAGTGGAGATTTGGTAACAAGAACGCGTGGAAAATGGAAGGGGACTCACGAGGCGAGGGAAAGTCATCGGCTTCTGGCCGAGAGAATGCGGGTTGCCGACGTTCGTGAAGATGATCTGCAGTTGCACGAAAGCAAGGAACTCGGACGGGAAAACAAATCAATAACATGCATGATGTTAACATCATGCTTCAGGTGTCAGCATTGTCGGCAAGGAGGAACATGCATGTTGATAGAGACATCATGGGGTGAACTATACTGTAAGGCTGAGTGACAATTCGCACGGATTCAACTTCAATGTCATTCGCGTACCTCCTTGCCTTCGGCTTGAAGCTGCGCGGCTCGCAGATAGAGCTCGCCGCGGACGGCGTACACCGTCTTGAGCACATTCTCGTTCATTGTGTCCGTTCGCAGAACCTTCTCGCTGGAAGCCATGGTCGCGAAGTCGTCGAAACTCCAGAAAAATGGTCTGACGTCCGACTTTCTTTACCTCCCTCCGAGTCGTAGTTTCTCGAAGCGAGTTTGATAGACGAGATGAGAAGAAGACACAAGGGAGCCTGGCTCAAAACAAGAAGCGAATGTCAAAGGGTGAATAGGAAGGTCAGCGAAACCGACCAATGCGTGAATGCCTGAACTGTCAAAATGTGGAGCTTTTCTTGGAATGGAATTTGGCACAATGGCATCTCCAGGGACCTTGGGGTTGGTTTGGGCTGGGGGAGCGCAGGATGCGAAACGAACGAGGGGTTGACTGAAATGGGGAGGGAAGTCCGGGGGAAGCGGAGCGGAGTTGGAGAAGGATATTTGATTGGATAAAAGGTTACGCGTGGCGAGCCGCAGAAGTGCTGTCCTGCTTCGTTGGCAGACAGTCCAGGTCAAAAGCAGAGCAGCCTCGTGTGTGACCATGTGAATCGTGAGTTTCATTGGCTAATAGCGAGATATCACCCAGTCAATTGCGGCGGGTGACTTGTCCGCACCGTACAGTACCCCCTATGTCCCCCTGCTGCAAACCACACCACCACACCAGGCCGGGGTGATTGTTGTACAGTACATGCATGATGCATGAAATGTGATGCACATGGCGGACATCCCATAACCGGGGGTACTCCCAGGCTCCCAGCCCGGAATGGCATGTGGACACCACAAGAGGTCCCCCCTACCATGGATGATTGGGCCAAGGGTGATTGGGTACAACAACTGTGATTTATCCCTTTCTGGATATCATAAATTTGATACCGCAAACTTGTTACTCTAGAAGCGACACCTATCTAAATTTTGGAGAAGGGAACAGTGGAAACGATGCAGTAAACATACGGTGGGACTAGTGGGGGGGGAGAACACAACAAACTGCTGCGCATATATCAGTGTCCTTGCAATATATTACTAGCACACACTAGGAATCGTCTCATGACAGCACAAGCTGGTGCTTGCAAATAGGGCAGTTGGCTTGGCATTGTAGCCACTGATCAATACACTGCGAATGGAACTGGCAAAAGCAAAGGGAGGGGAACAGAGAGGAAGACACATTGCTGTGATTTCATGCATCCAAAATGCAATGGTTTCAGTGCATCTCACTGCACGCTTTACTTCAGGGCGGATCGGTGAAGTGACACACCTGGTGTAGGCATGGTAGCAGACGAACCATCTCGCCTTCCTGGAAAGGCTCCAGACACACTGTACACTGCTCACTGCCGCTTCTGCTCTCATCTCCCTCCTTCCCCTGCTGGCTTGACACCGGATTGCATGATGCTGCACTGCCTGTTGCTGCTGCTGCTGCTGCTGCCAATGCATCTGATGCAGCTGGTGCTGCTGATCCTGCTGCTCCTTGTATAGATGGCGATGATAATGACGGCAAAGAGGAAGCGGGCCGTGACTTGTATGCACCTGATCGACTCCTGGTGTAGCAAGAAAACAGGACACGCATGGAGGCGTTACTGAAGGCACACTGAGATTATTTGGTGAAATTGACCCAGCAGCAGGGCAGCTTGACTGCAATCAGAGCAAATCCATCGCCGCTACAAGATTTTACACGAGGGACAAGGGAAAACATTGCAAATGGATAGTCACGGCAATGCCCGGCACCATGGTGCAGGGAATGGCTGAGGATGCATCAGCGGTGCCAAACGCCCTACCAGTAGGAGGTCTTGATGGCTCGTTTCATTGATCAGGCAGTGAGCAAACCACATACCTCTTTGGCTTGTATGGGAAAGCAGGCAAGCGAGCAATCTCGACATCGCTCAGGGCAGGGACAGATGGAGTGTTGTCCGCATCCAGTGCACGCAGCAGATCATAGTCTGGAACGGAGCAGGCAGAAAGGGGGACACACAGGGAAACTAATGACTCCTGGGCTGAGACAAGCACGTGGCAACGAAGTGTGGGAACTAATTCACCAAATCAGAGCTCAAGCGGAGGTGAGAAATCCGCTTGAAGCCTGTCGTCCACCTGACGCCTGCAGCTATAGGTGCATGAGCACAAGCTGTAACCCCAGATGAACACACGGCGTTGGGCTTGGGCGTTGGGCTTGGGCGTTGGGCTTGGGCGTTGGGCTTGGGCGTTGGGCTTGGGCGTTGGGTTGGGCTTGGGCGTTGGGCTTGGGCGTTTGGCTTGGGCGTTGGGCTTGGGCGTTGGGATTGGGCGTTGGGCTTGGGCGTTGGGCTTGGGCATTGGGCTTGGGCGTTGGGTTTGGGCGTTGGGCTTGGGCGTTGGGCTTGGGCGTTGGGCTTGGGCGTTGGGCTTGGGCGTTGGGCTTGGGCGTTGGGTTGAGCTTGGGCGTTGGGCTTGGGCGTTGGGCTTGGGCGTTGGGATTGGGCGTTGGGCTTGGGCGTTGGGCTTGGACGTTGGGCTTGGGCGTGGGCTTGGGCGTTGGGCTTGGGCGTTGGGCTTGGGCGTTGGGCTTGGGCGTTGGGCTTGGGCGTTGAGCTTGGGCGTTGGGTTGTGCTTGGGCGTTGGGTTGTGCTTGGGCGTTGGGTTGGGCTTGGGCGTTGAACTTGGGCGTTGGGATTGGGCGTTGGGATTGGGCGTTGGGCTTGGGCGTTGGGCTTGGCTTGGGCGTGGGCTTGGGCGTTGGGCTTGGGCGTTGGGCTTGGGCGTTGGGCTTGGGCGTTGGGCTTGGGCGTTGGGCTTGGGCGTTGGGCTTGGGCGTTTGGCTTGGGCGTTGGGCTTGGGCGTTGAGCTTGGGCGTTGGGCTTGGGCGTTGGGCTTGGGCGCTGGGTTGGGCTTGGGCGTTGGGCTTGGGCGTTGGGCTTGGGCGTTGGGCTTGGGCGTTGGGCTTGGGCGTTGGGCTTGGGCGTTGGGCTTGGGCGTTGGGCTTGGGCGTTGGGCTTGGGCGTTGGGTTTGGGCATTGGGCTTGGGCATTGGGCTTGGGCGTTGGGCTTGAAGCCTCTCTCTCACCTGATGCCTGCAGCTCCCTGTGCATGAGCGCCAGCTGTAACCCCAGGTGCAAACACGTGGATCATGGGGACGCGTGGGAGGGGAGAGACAAGAACACGGCAACCCCTACCACTATCCGATGCAGGATCGATTAAAAACCTCTTGCCCACCTGACGCCTGCAGCTCCCTGTGCATGAGAGCCAGCTGTAACCCCAGGTGCTGTTGTAACCGCCGCAGCTGCGCCTGGTGCTCCAACCACATGCGATCCCCCTCCTGCTGCCCCTGCTGCCCTTGCTGCTGTTGCCGCTGTTGCAGCTGCTGCTGTCGAGAAACACCATGCTGCCCAAATTGTGCTCGAACCAAAGAGCCTATTCTTGCAGCAAGCAACGACCCGTCCTCCATTCTTCCACCCCTCTCCCCCACTCCAAACCACTCCCCACCGAGCTCTGATAGTGCCTGTGCCTGTGGCTGCTGCACGTGCACACGTTGGGCAGCGGAAGCAGATGCTGCTGCTCCATCTCGTGCTGACTCAGCTCCAGCTAAAGCCGATGCTGACCTGGCCGCTGCTGACGTGGATTGGCTAAGATTTCCGGACGAGGAGGACGGGGTGATGGAAGGGGAGAGGGACGAGGGAAAGGCGGGGAAAGGGGAGAGAGAGGGGAAGGAGGGGAGGTCGGAGAGTGGGACTGCTGCACCCCTTGCAGGCTGGAAGGGAAGACTCGAGAACGGCGGCCCAAAGGGGGGGAAAGGGGAGGCGAGCGCAGATGGATTGGAGAGGAGGAAGGAGGTGGAGGAAGGGGGGAGGCCGAGGAGGCGGGCAAAGGCACGCTGGGCTCTCGCTTGGTCGGCTAGATGGCGGTAGAGGGAGAGGCCTCGCAGCATGGCTGCTACAAACGCTCCGATGAACACCCACAGCTGATGGGAAGTGGGGACGTGTGGAAGGTGAGGGGAGGGAAGAAAGGAGCGATGTGTATGCAGTGCAGAGAAAGTGATGAATGCAGGAAAATGTTGATTTGCTTGCATAAGCAGCAACCAGGAAGATACCAAAGTAGAGACTGGAACGCCTTATGCACTGGTCCAAGTGCTCACAATGTGGAGTGACAGGCAAGGAGGGGTTGGAAATGACGTACCAGAAACTCTGAAGCCTGAGGGAAGCTGAGCAGCATAAGGAGAAACATGACTGTACATTGGCGGGCAAACACAGAGAACAGGAAGGAGAGAGCAGGACACAGAGAGCAGGGAACACAGAGAGCAGGGAACACAGAGAGCAGGGAACACAGAGAGCAGGGAACACAGAGAGCAGGGAACACAGAGAGCAGGGAACACAGAGCAGGGAAAAGAGAGCACGTAGGGGAGGGCAGGACGAGAGAGGAGTGAGTCAATGCGCCAGAGGCTGAACACTGAGTGTCAGACAAACCGATCTTCATTGTTCACAAGGACAAGAACCTCTGGGCTGCTTACGGGTGAGAATGAAGACGAGCGGTTGGACATTGACAATCAGCTCCCGCGCTGCAACGGATGCCTGGCCTCCTGATCCTGAGAGGCCGACGGACTGCGGCTGTGAGAACGGGAAGCCGGATTGGGTGGATGGTGGTGCACCACCGGACTGAATCGACAGCCCGCTCGTTCCAGTGAAGCCCCCGTTACTGGAACCTGACGATTGGCCGCCTGGTGCTCTCTGCAGCATGGACAGCATGGGAGGTTTGAAATACGGACGACACATGTAAGACCCTTGCGGAGAAATGGCGTGCCTTGAATCTGGCGTTCAGATAGAAGCGAACACAAGCAACGCGTGACATGTGATAAACACAAGGAGCGCGAGTTGTCTTCGCATGGAAACACAATTTAACACGGGCAGGACTGGACCGACCAGCGGACAGGACGGCACGGGACGGAGTAGAAAACGGCGAAAGGGTCGCGCAGGAGCTGGCGCTACATTTGCCTTTCCGCGTTTCAAGCCTGGAGACTCTGAACGAATAAAGTCTAGCCTTCGCCGTAAGACGCAATCACGACTAGCACGAAGCCTGAACCGCTGAGCTGCAATAAGCGCGGGTAACACTAATCAGTCTATGCGACTGCTAGCATAGCAGCCTACCCATCGCATATCGACGGCGGACGGCACCGACCACCCTCCGGTTGACGAGAATCCCGAAGCGAGACCCGAATCCGTGGCTGGTTCAGGCCCCGCTTCCAAGTCCCCTCTGCCGCCTCGACCAGCCGCGCTCATATCAGGAACTACAAGCGAAAAGGAGGAGCGCATCTGATTTCTAGCCCTTGGGAATGTGCGGCAAGCAACTGAATCTTCGCCACGGTTTTGACTACTAGACCTCTGACACGAGTCCCTGGCACCAGTTGCCCAACGGAGCTAAGTACCAAGATTCTCGGTGGGCAGGAGTACAATACTCTAATACAATATTTTCACGATGATATGAACATCTCAACACAAACCTCTGCACTACCCAGCCGTGGAATAGTCATGTTCTGATAATAAAAAAATGGACCTTACAACATGTTTAAAATATTAATTTCTACAAGCATTTCACGCATGAGCGATGCTGGCTGGCTTGCTGTTGGGAGAGCCTTCTGGAACTACTTCGGAAACACAAGCTCCACAAATAGAGTAATAGCATGTCTATCTCAGCATCACCTCAAGAACCCTGTGTTCCAAGAAAACCATATCAATGCTTCATCAACAGCATCAAGCTTCAGTACTTGGAGCTCCGTCTTCATTATCGTAGATGCCAGTCAACCTGCGGAATGGAGAGAGTGCAAGAGGATGAGATGCTGTGACAGAAAACAACTACCTTTGCAGGTAGCAACGAGCGCGTTCGCGTTTTCCGACGAATGGAATTTATGGGGATTCCAGGCCCACCAATGACAGAGGCCCTGCGAGAGGGCCTACACGCGAGCAGACATACCCATCTGGTTTCATCTACGTGCAGCATAGTCACGATGCACTTCAACGGCACGAATGCCTCGTGATCGCCGGCTTAATTGCGCACGATGAAATGCAGGAAGTTAACGGAAGTAAAAAAACAAATCGTCGGCAGCGATACATGATCAAGCGGCAAGAGCATGAGCTCATAGGAAGTCTTACCGCATATTGCACGAGAACTCTACAGCTTGCTGGCTCCGTCTTTCACGGGCAATGTCATGACAATTTCAGAAACTCCATCGGAAGAGCTGAGAACGCCGTCGGCCCTAGGCGAGGCTGTCAGCTATCGAATGAGATTCCCGTAAAGATAAGCGAAAACGGCGTCATGCGCTTTCAGCGGACCCGCCAAGCGGTGAAGCTGGCGCCGTTGAAGCGCCCATGAAAGACCCAGAGCTTGAGATCATTTTTACAACCACAGCTTGACAGAACTGAACTGCCTCAATCGAACTGGCAATATTCCCCAGCCCAGCACGTCCCGACTCTGGCCCACCAAGCGGGGTGGTCTGCCACCAGATTAAATTGAAACATTGACTTCCCAACATTTTTAAAAGGGTGAAAATGTTTGATGTTTGATGTAGAGATGCATACACCTTGAATGCTATCAGCTTTTGGTAAGGTCGTGGGACGTCCGCTGCAAATGAACAAACCAATGGCGCTGCTCGACAGGCAGACAAACACTCAGTTGGAATCGTCGAGGCGGTGTTGAAATTGGTGTGTGTGTGTGTGCGTGCGTGTGTGTGTGCGTGTGTGCGTGCGTGCGTGTGTGCGTGCGTGCGTGCGTGCGTGCGTGCGTGCGTGCGTGCGTGCGTGTGTGTGTGTGTGTGGGTGTGTGTGTGTGTGTGTGTGTGTGTGTGTGTGTGTGTGTGTGTGTGTGTGTGTGTGTGTGTGTGTGTGTGTGTGTGTGTGTGTGTGTGTGTGTGTGTGTGTGTGTGTGTGTGTGTGTGTGTGTGTGTGTGTGTGTGTGTGTGTGTGTGTGTGTGTGTGTGTGTGTGTGTGTGTGTGTGTGTGTGTGTGTGTGTGTGTGTGTGTGTGTGTGTGTGTGTGTGTGTGTGTGTGTGAATGTGTGTGTGTGTGTGTGTGTGTGTGTGTGTGTGTGTGTGAATGTATGTATGTGTGTGTTTTGTTTTCTTTTTTTATTCTTTTTTTCTTAAGACCCCTGGCGGAAGAAAAACGCCAAGAACGGGCGCATCTAGCCCCAAAATGCGGAAGGATCCGCAAATGTGCAGGAAGTGCAGCGAGCGGTCTTCATTCGCGAGCGCCGATGACCGATGATGCTCGCAACCCTCCTACGCCCTTGGTGGTTTGGTAATAGGTCCAGACAAGCGCATCCATTTGACCCGGCGGGAGAAAAACGCTCAGAACGAACGCTTCCTCCCGCAAAACGCAGAAGGATCTGCATATGTGCAGGAAGTGCAGCGGGCGCTCTTCATTCGCGAGCGCCGATGACCGATGATGCTCGTAATCCTCCCACGCCCTTGCTGGCTTGGTTTTAGGCCCAGACAAGCGGAGCCACGTGTCCCGGCGGGAGAAAACGCTCGGAACGAGCGCCTCTACAACCAAAACGCGAAAGGATCCGCCCATGTGCAGAAAGTTCAACGGACGCTCTTCATTCGTGAGCCCCGATGACTGATGATGTTCGCAATGTGAAGATGAGAACGAGAGAATGGATGAACTATGAAAGAGTTGGGTACGAGTACTAGCCCTCTAAGCACTAGCCCCATGCCCGACGTACTGCACACGTAGCGCAACACCCTTTTTCCTGCAGCCATGTGCTCTGGTCGGTGTCTCCCAGGAGCAACATAGGGTGCCAAGATGCTAAGAGGGCACGCAAGGTCAGGTCGTCAGGTACATGAGGCAGTCAACAAGCTCTGGGTACGGGCCACTCGGCTCTACGGACTCATCCGAAGGCAGAGCTGAGAGTGAGTGTTGAGTAGACAGAGGAGTGGCCTGAGGCGAGGAGTACGTGAAGCCGAAGCGCTGAAGGACCTGCTGCACCATGTGTGACTGAGTCAGGGTAATGGTGCGCTGTGCTCTGTCCCGGGTGATCTGCAAGCCAAGGTAGCTGCGCAGTTCACCCAGATCTGTGCACATGTGTCTCTTCTGCAGCTCGGACTTCAGGTCGGCGAGTCCAGCAGTGTCAGCTGTGGCAAAGACCAAGTCGTCGACGTACACGAGGATGTAGAACGGCGGCAGAGAGGTGTCGGTGCGCAGAAACAGCGACGGGTCGGCTGTAGAAGGAGCAAACCCAAGAGCCGCAAGTGTAGTCCTCAGTGTGTCGTGCCACTCACGGGGCGCCTGGCGGAGACCGTAGACTGGCCGCCGGAGGCTCCACTGGGTACCAGGAGGAAACGACCCAGTGAAGCAAGGAGGGCGGCGCAGCGAGATCTCCTCGTGCATGCTGCCCTGCAGAAAAGCTGTGCTGAAGTCAAGAGAGTAAAGCTCGTAGTCCCGCTGAGCAGCTATGTGAAGCAGCACCCGAAGAGTGGTCATCTTCCGGGTGGGAGAGAAGGTATGAAAGTAGTCAACTCCCTGCCGCTGACTGAAGCCTCGAGCCACGTAACGCGTCTTGAAGACAGGCGGAGAACCCGGCGGCCGCTTCACCCTGAAAATCCACATGCCACTGACGATGTTCGCCCCAGGTGGGGGAACCTCGTCTACGTAGGTGCCTGTGGACTTCCAGGAAGCCATCTCTGCATCCATGGCCGACTGCCAGTGAGAGGAGTGGGGACCATCGATTGCCTCAGCGTACGAACAAGGAGTCCGGATGTCTGGTGCATCCAGGTCTCCCTCAGGGGCAATCAGCGTGGACACGAGATGGGGCAAAGCAGCAGCAAAGCACTGGAACTCCTCCTGCCTGTCCTCAAGGACGTCCGTGCTAAGAGCACACTCACCCCCGACGGACGGAGGACAGACAGACTCAGACTCAGCAACGAGACTGGCAGCGTAGTCTAGACGACAGCGAGCAGCGAAGTCGACAAGCTCACCAACTAGGGCAGACGCAGCAGTGGACTCAAAGGAAGGGTCAGTGACAACAGTAGCTAGGAGACGCGTGATAGAAGGACTAGCAGCACGAAGAGAGTCAGACTACGGGTCAGCAAGAGTAGGAAGAGAGGACTCTGGAGGAGACGGCAACGGGACACGCAGAGGAGCAGTGGAAGGACACAGCGCCATCTGGTGTGTGCCGGGGACCGCAGGAGGACGCGGACGCGCAGTACGACCACTAGTGCGAGCAGCACGAACAGGCGACGCAGGACGAGACGCAGGCTCACGATGCTCAGCAAGACCTCCAGTAGGACCAGTGTAGGGAGAAGGAGCAGGTAGAGGGGAGCCGGGCTGTAACTGTGACTGCGACTGGACAGACTGTGAACACTCTAAGGGAGGAGCAAGACCTGGAGAGGGCGGGAGACCAAGAACCTGCTCCATGAGCGGAACGAAGTACGGCCTCGGCCGCGCAGAACCAGCAAGGACGGCACCAGTACCCCCAGCGGCAGCACCAGTGCCAGCAGCACATCCAGCTCCAACAGCGCCAACTCCAGCACCCTCAGAAGCGCCAGCGCCAGCAGCACCGCCACCGCCAACACCCCCAGCAGCTCTAGCTCCAGCAGCACCAACTCCAGTAGGACCGTCAGCACCAGCAGCCTCAGCAGCACCCCCAGACGCACCAGCGTCAGTAGAAACACCAGCGTCAACACCCCCAGCAGCTTCAGCTCTAGCAGCACTCGTACCGCCAGCAGCTCCAGCAGGACCAACTCCAATAGCCCCAGCAGCACCCCTAGTCTCAGCAGCAC